AAATTTTTTCTGCAAATAGTATTTTACAAATGAGTATAGTAATAACTTACGTTTTGTTTGGTGATCTCCCAGTTACAAGTCGTGCTGTTACACATTTTACCAACCAAAAGCTTGAAACTGAAATAAGGGTAACATATATCAATACAATTTAGCATTTATATAAAGTTTTTATAGTGCATGTATATTGACATAGTTTTACAGCTAATGTATTCCAACCACAAATTCCAAATATAGATATGAAATAGTCAGAGAATGCTGGTGATGGTGTCTCCAACTTTAATATGAAAATATTTCATCATTCAATTGAGTAAAAAAGAAACAGGTTTGTAATTTTATTTCATTTAAATGATTTAAATAATTCGTAAATAAGTGCAAATTTTAAAACTATAATTATTACGAAATATACTAACAATTCATTGCTACACCCCTTTGTGGCATCGAATTTTAGTTATGTAGAAAATTCGACGATGAAATTTTCTATTTAAGAAACAAACGCGTTTGTTTTACTGTCTAGAAAAGGCTACAAAGGCCGTTTCTCTTGTAGACCATTGGGTCAGTAACTTTCGCATACAAAAAATCTTTATATTCTGGTTATTTGAGAAAAACGAAGAGATCAACTTTTGTTGTAACTTACATTCCATCATTGCATATGGCCAGTTTTCGTAATCAATTTCTGGAATGTCGACATCAGGAACTTCATCTGGGGAAGACGGGTAGGTCTCTGTGGGAGTGGGCTCCTCGGTCGTTACTTCACGAGACCCTAGAAGTTGGTAATTAAATATAGTAAACAAGTTCGATACATTCACAATTCCTTTATAATGCAATATATGTTATTGATTTAATAGATCATTTATTTCTAAACATACATACCGGTAAACAAAACGTACATTTTAAATAGGATGTTTGTTTAATTTATTGTAAAATCGGAATATATTTCACAGAGCGAGAACCAAAATGTATATTTCACGAGTGGCGTAGCCACGCGTCAAATATAAAATTTTGGTGTTCACAAGATGAACTATAAATCGATCTTGCACTAAACTAAAACTTATAAAAAAATTATATTGCAAAAGAAAATCCAAATTCTAAAAAAAGCGCCGCCAAATAATACAACTTTTGAACGTCATTAAGTTGTTTCCAGTAATGTGCACGCTGGTATGTCACTAAAACAACGTAACGGGATTATCAAAACGGTGTACATATCAGTTTTATATTTCACTGATATATTTCTATAAACTAACAAAAAGCATGTAATAAATAGGCAAACTTCCGAAGGTTCTCGGTATTATATGCTTGGAATAGTGATATCTAAATACGATTTTTTTCTCGTACTTTTACCATTTTCTTCATGTATAGTGCGGAATAATCAAAACTTCGGTTCTTATAGCATTATAGTGACCACCCATTTGGCCTTAAACTGGTCTAGTATATCGCCAGATTAGAACATGATGCACCAGTATGTGTATGATGCACTAATTGGTGTATTGTACGATGCACCAAATGGTGTACCAGACTATCTTTCAAATCTTTGAAGAACCATTATTTTGTTAATATAGCAGTGTGAATTGTGGCACCTGCACTAATTATAGATAATATTCATAGAAATATCCTGAAAAACTAATATATTGATGTAAACACTGGCAAAAGTTACAATTTTTCAGTGGATGAAAACATTAAAATCTCCTGAAGTTCATTTAGATCAGAAGTCGTGTTTATTCTTTGTCAATAAAACAGACAATTACCAATGTTATGTGCCAAAACATGATTATAAATAAATTATTTACAGAAACGTATTTATTAAATTTTTTATTCACCGATCGGTGTATGATTAAATACATCAATTTATGTATTATGTACCAATTTGTGCATCATGCACTTATCTGGCGATATACTAGACCTGTTAAACATTAAGCACATCTAAACGTTCGGCTTTGTCCCGGTGGACTGATCGGTCATTATAATGCTACGTGACTCACTTAGTGTCGTGTATTATTTCCATCAAACGAAATTTTTCAGAACACGTGAATTAACTGCATATAACCACAAAGACCGAGTGATGAAAATGTATTAGAATAATTATCTAAAAGTCTATCTATCGAGAAACAGTACAACGTCCAGCTATAGTTTTATGTCCGTACCAAAAGTATCCATAATGTATTACAAAAGAAAAGAACAGAAAGAATCTTCACTTACCTGGAGGAAAACGGCGTCGTTGAAAATCCGTACTGCGGCTATCAACAACGCACAAGAAGACCATGCACAAAGGAATGAAAACTTGAAGCTGCATTATTTCCTCTAATGTCGTCTGTCCAAGAAGAATAGTGAAGATGTTACTGCATGTGCCAGTATTTATACCCGTTGTTAAACAAGATGAGGCCCGAACGAAGAAAATTGTTAGCATTTCTTACCTGGGTCGTGACATTGTTTCAGTATATATGTAAAATATTACAAAATTACATTGACTACATTTTTAATTTGTACAATACAAAGAGTGACTTCATATAGCAAGTACAATGCAGACATTATATTGAAGGTTAACAGACTCAAATTGAACAATATCAGTAATATTGTCTTAATGTTAGTATCGTGATACCATTTCGTGATACAGTCAGTGTTGTTTGTACAGTGTGGAGCCCGTAAAAAGTCGCCGAAACATTCAATTCGAGAAGTTACAACCTGGTTATTGAAGGTCGTTCAGCATTGCATTACTGTTGTATTTGTGTTTATCTTGTTCGGTGGTTTCAACCTAAACAACTAAAATACTGTATAGGGTTATATTGCCTGCCTTATTTCTCCCTTCTTCTTTTGACAGCTAGTCTTTGATACGCAAAAACACGCCTTTTTAACTTGGAGACCGTACAATTATTCCTTATAGCATATAGCTAATAACTCATGTTAATATTTAAGCTGGTGCTATGGGCATGGGTGGTAGTTTGCACTTTGCAGTACCGTCCATGAACATGCTCAACTAAACCGAGACTACAACATTTTCAATAATTTTTCAGCTTTGAAATTTATTTGGGATTCTATTTTCTCTGTTTTATAAATAAGGTTAATACGAAAAACCAAATTGAACGAACGCATTATCTAGTAACTCTGAATATTTTGTCATAAATAACACAATAAAGCTGTTGATTCACGTGAATATTTATCTAAAATAAATAATTGTTACAGAAATAGCATTGGTGATATAGTGTTAGAATATTTCTATTTAACTTTTGCTTAACATTTTAAAATGTCAAAGCAAGAATATAGTTTTTAAACTAATATATGTTCATTGTATATAGCACAAAGTGATTATAGCTCCGTCTTTGCCCCCGGAGGAGCGCGGGAGTAGCGGGGGAAATGTCGTTTTACTTTCTGTCCATGTAAAGTGATTGTTTCACATTTCGGAGAAAGATGACCAATTCAGGTTCAAAAACGAATTAGGCAAGGCTTGAACAATATTTCCTTATACACGTATTCTCAATTTAAATGCTATTACAACCAGGATAGCCCTGTATATATCTATATTGCTTTCGACATTTCAGTAACACCCAATGCCATTTTTAGGAACTGTCTATTTTATCAAATGTTGTGTTGAAAAGTATTCTATAAATGGGGAAAATATGGGGTTTTAAAGTTGGTGAATGGGCCAAAATATTTGCCTCTAATAGGCCTTATTATAGTCAATGTTGTGCTTTTAAATCTGAATTGACGATCCCATTAAGAATTGGGTATTTACCAATAGCGTAAAATTTCACAATCCAATAACAAACACATAATAAATTTGATTTAATAACGAAATAATCGGGAGGGCCTCTCTTGAAAAGTCAATGTATAATGAAGCACGAAATTCTCGTGCAAATTGAAATACATGATATTTAACCATCACATGTACATATCTATGGAAGATTAACTCTGTAAATACGAGTACTACATTGTACAAATTGCCTACGCTAACTTCAATACATTTGTGACGATATAAATGAGCATGTATTCATGTAATATAGTAAATAAAATAAAGATTTATTTGTATGTATAAACAACGTTACGGAATGCGCAACTCATGTGATAAAATTGAAGACGAAAAATGGATAACATGCAGATATAAAAAATATATCAGAGAGGTTGTGTCGTTATGAGCACGTTTTATTTCATTATGTTTATAGATCATAATGTTTTAACATTCAATTAGCACTCTCTTCAGATCACGTATAATAATAATAATAATAATAATAATTTTATTGAACAAAAGGCAAATGCCTGTGAGTACATATATACATACATATAATACAAGTTTGTTTTTTTTTTTACAAAATAATCAGTGGCGGTCCAATTCTATATAAATCAGCATAAATGTATATGATCGTAAAAAATATCAATCATCACTGCATGCAATCATTATCAGTTTGCAAACTATAAGAGGCGATTGGTGAAACAACAGTATCATAAATGCTTTTATGTAAATCTTCTCAAATTTTCAAACAGTTATACACCTATTATAGTCAACGTCAATAAGATTTTGAAAAATACAATGAATATTAAACATGAGAATTAAAAAACTTCGCACACGCACGCACCCACACATACACACACACACACACACACGCACGCACACACACACACATGCACACGTATACAAAAATATTATTAATACATCAAAATAGAGTCTTCCACAAGAGAAAAATGTAAAAATATATTTTGTGGAGAAAAGTGACTCACATTTAATATAAAACTATGCTACGGCGTTCCATTGCTTTAAATAAGTATATGGCAAGATTTGTATTTATTTGTTTTTGGTCGCTGGAAAGAAGTTCAACAAACTTTGGAATATTCGGTCTTTTTCGAAAAATATTGTTTTATATATCTAATTCTTAAATCTTTATATAATTCGCATTCTAAAGAAAATGAAATTCGTCTTCTTAGTGTGTTACATAAGATACATTTGCGTTCATTTTCTTGGAATCGGATGCGGTTTATGCCATCTGCCGGTTTCTATATACAATCTGTGTGACGATAAACGAAATCTTTGTTAAAGCAGCTCGGTATTTATTGATATTAATTTGTTCTATGTATTTGAAAAACCGAAAGTAGCGAAAAGTTTATATTGTCGGCCCTGGGTGAAGCTTCAACTTCAGACATCCAGGTTTGAATAAAATTATCTTCAAAGTCTTCGCTTGATTTCTGCCTATAAAAATGTTTTCATTTCCTATTTCTTGAAATATCCATGCATAATTTAAGCCTAAATTTTCAAGAATTGTTTCTTACAGATGTTGCCCAATTAGTAATTTCATTTGTTTTGTTCAATATCTTCAAGCATCAAATTGTATGTTTGTTTAATCAGTTTCACGTTATCGCATTTAATTATTTTTAACCAGAATTTTAAAAAACTTGTATTATTCTTTGTTGTTTTAAAGGCATTCTACCTAAATCGCCGTATACAAAATTAGTCTGGGTTTTTGTAATTTTACCCCTAAAATATTTTTCAAAAAATGTGTATGTATATTTTCTATTTTATCAGCTTTATTCATGCCCCATATTTCACATCCATAACATAACATCGGTTTAATTAACTTGTCAAACAATTCAATTTTATGTTTTATATCTATATAAGTAAATTTCTGTAAGTATTGTTTCATTTTGAAAATAGCTTTTAATGCTTGACCTGACAATGCATCATATGTGTGTTCAAAAGACCCCCCACAAGAAAAAAACTATACTAAGATATGTAAATTTATTCACTATTTCAATTTCAGACTCATTATACATAACCCTAATATTTCTTGGTAATCGTCCACCCTTTCTGAAAATCATCACTTTTGTTTTATTAATATTTACGGTAAGTTTCCAACGTTCACAATAATCTTTTAAAATATCCATGCCTTTTTGTAAATCATCTAAACTTTCGGCTATTATCACAATATCGTCTGCGTATAAAAGAAGAAAAAGTTTTAAAAAACCGGTATCTATGCCTTTAAATCCTTCACGTAAAAGAGTATCTTCAATATCGTTTACATAAATAGAAAAAAGAAAGGGAGATAAGCAATCACCTTGACGGACACCCAACGAACATAAAAAGCTTTCACTCAAAGTGTTGTTTTGAGTTTTCACCCTAGACTTAACATTTTGATACATAGATCTTAAAACAGTAAGAATCTTTCCTCGGACACCAATATGAATCAGCTTTAACCAAATATTCTCTCGCACTAGTAAGTCAAAAGCTTTGGTAAAATCTACAAAACATACGTATATTTTCTTATTTTGATTTTAAATATGATTAATTAATCCATGTAAAATAAAAACGTTGTCAATTGTGCCCATATGTGACCTAAAGCCTGCCTGTGATTCAATATACACATGATATTTTTCCGCCCATTTATTTAATCTATTATTAATAACTCTGGTAAAAAGTTTACCCATAGTACTCAAAAGAGTTATTCCCCTGTAATTCTCTGGTAAATTAGGGTCCCCCTTTTTAAAAAGCGGAATAATAAAACCTTCCGACCATACAGAAGGAAAATGACCAGTGTTCAGTAACTTATTGAATAACGCTAGTATGTACGAGACAAAATAATCGATACCGTATTTAAAAAATTCATTTATGTAAAGATCTGGTCCTCCAGATCTATCATTTCGCAATTCCTTACAAGCTTTGATGATTTCATATCGTTTCTCAAATTTATTTTTTCCATGTTTTATAATATGCTTTGTATGGAACACCTTTTCTGCTTTCTTATATCTATATTCTTATTATCTTTTGCTTATTACGTTATATATGTGCATTGGACGTTTTGTGAAAAAAAATTATTGAGTTATTCATATTATCTTTTGTGACATGCCAACTTTATATGCGCGTTGCGTTATAGGAAAAAAATATTTGGTTATTTCTATTAATTTGTTGGGTCATGCCAACTTTATTGCGGTATGTGACTAGAACAATGCGTTTCACTTCCGGTGTCATGTATAAACTTCACTATGTCATGTATATCATTGAAACTCTTGAAACTCTTGTATATCATTGAGACTATCATTTATATTGTAAAAGTAACCTAATGAAAATATTAATTTGTGTATGTAAAAAACAATTGACTTAGTTCACTGTCGATATGCAACCACTGTGTTAAAGGATTGAGGAATCAGAATTACAGCCACGGTTTGTCCCTGCGTAATCGTAAGTCGACCAAGCTGGTTCAAATTCCTGGCGTCTGTTCATCTCTTGGCTAGCTACAGCAGGTGAGGTGGTTTTGGCCGCTGGTGTTGCTTTAAAAGATTTAATTGTTCAAAGAACACCTCACTACACGACCTAGGTAGCAACTTCTAGGAGACCTGACTATATTATCTGAAATCAGAACAATTCCCTGAACTCTGCTGTTTGAAACCACATCTCTAATCATATACATAAAGAAATGTTATAGCATGCATTTCACAAAATAAGTATAAGAAAGGTTATATATATTTCTTAAATATTTTAAAATTAATTATTTTAAAATAATAATTTTCTTAAAAGAATTAATATATACAATTCTTATCAGGTTGTTAGCATCTTTCTAAGGTAGGTTTATATAATCAGATAGCAGAATTGGATTTTTTTTTTCATTTTTAACAATTCTTAACAGTTCTATTTTATGAATAATGGATAAAACATGAACAATTAACATTGAAAACAATGAACAGATTTCTTTCAACTAGAAAGTGTTGCTTACCTGAAATCAGAACACCGCCCTGAACTCCGATGCTTGCAAGGGTGTTGCTTTATTTAAACGATCTATCGGAATGTTGTTGTGCCGTTTTACCTTATATGGGAGGCTGTATGTAATGCTTAACCAATGACCAGAAGCAACGTGCTAATGTATTATGTATATGAGCCGCGTCACGACAAAACCAACATAATGGGTTTGCGACCAGCATGGATCCAGACCAGCCTGCGCATCCGCAGAGAAAGTAACAATAGCATGATGTCCACTTCTTTGTGAAACAGATAGAAAAGCAGGGGTTTTTTTTAATTTTCATGTCATTTTGTTCAGTCCAATATGAAAGTGAGTAACAAATGCATTTCATACACGTAATTTCACATTTGTAGAACCAGACATTTTAACTATGTTATAATGTATTAAATAAATGTTTGCTTGATTTTCGCATTCCCTTAAACAATATTCAAATACAATATACAATACTTATGAAAATATCAAAGCAGGAGTAATTGGTATCAATACCTTAATAACCTTAATTGTGACAGTGTTTTCTTATCATGTAAATCTTGGCCTCAAGCGGCATTGGTTAGAAAGCCAAGGTAAAGGGAGATGGCCATCACAAGAAATTAGGAATCATGCCGCCAGCACTAGGTGTTTTGTTGTTCCAACTGGAAGTAAGGTTAGTGTATATCCTGAACTGAAATAGAGAATATCTACATCACTCTCAGAAAGATGCCTAATGTTTGATCTAAATATAACACAACGCAGGTGTTACGTTTTAATGAAAATCATTCTTAAACATTCTTAAACACTATTTAAATCCTAAACGCGAAATAAATATATCAAGTTATATGTGTAAAACAGTTCTATTTCAAACTATACAAAACACAGAGCCAAGTTTGTGGATTAAGAACAATTTATTCAGATGCTTAACAAACTGCTTATTGGAATTATGCTGTTGTGTAGAGAAAGAAGTCGACATTTCATTATACGAGATAACAATTTGATGGCAGGACAATTTACAGCGGAGACAAAACAACAACGTTTGACAAACTTAACTGATTTTATTCAGAGTGATGTGCAAGCATTAAAAACAAAGTAATATTGATGATCTTGGACTGAGAATTTAAATTACTAGTAAATTGAATGAAATGCCACAAAGAGCATGCAGTTTCATCAATACTTATAGTATGAGTAGATGTTTTATAGCTACACAGTTTTTTTAACCTTGCAAACAGAGTAAGTACAAATGTCTTTATGATTTTGAGAGAGTTGCATTACACAAACGTAAAAACAATGAAACAACATATAGTGAGACTAATGACGTACCGTGAAAATAAAAGTTTCAGGTTTTTTTGCACTTTTTCTCTTTACCATATATGGATCTACCCTGGCATCAGCAAGTATAGGCTTTAACAAGCAAATATCACTTCAGGCATTTGTTTGGCTACTAGATGGTTTGGACTCGGACAACTCCTCTTGCAGACTTAAACTGGCTTCTGTGTTCTACAGTTCAGGAGATATGCAGAAAGCTGAGCTGCTGCTTAGACTCTCTGAAAGATACTATAACTCTTATCCTAATCAACCTGTCTGTACCTGTTGTATGCAGGATACATTCTTACGTGAAGAGTTCGTGGATGAATGCTATGAACAAAATGAATATTGTATTAGACGGATTACATCATTTTGTGTCAGTTTTACAAGGCATGAGATCAACTGTGTTCCTCATGAACTAAAATATGAAATGTTCAGATCTACACAATATCATAGGACTTTAGAAGAAGAAGCAGAAACATGTTGGATGGACTGGGCTGTAATTGATTCTCTGCCTTTCTTGTACTTTCTACAGTATAAGATCTACGGCCATCTACGAAAATATCAAGATAAACAACAGGCACTCAGTAAACTCATAAGAACCACAGAAACACACAAAAACCTTAAACATTTAAAATTAATTCGGATTAATTTCAATAAATCACATTTTAATGCCATAAAACACAATATGGGTGTTTTTGACTCTTTTCATTGCCGTGCTGGCAATTGTGTAAACACTCGACAATTGAAATTAAATCATGTTGCAAAAATAAAGAAAAAGCTGTTCTAAATCAATGGGCAACAGTAGGGACCGAACCATATATCAGGCAATCACCCAACCGAATGCGCTATTGCGAATGTGACGACGATCTATACATTCTATACATAAAGTTAGTATGATTCTACAAAACTTTAGTTATATAATCCATATTAATTATCGTAAACTACACGGACAGAATCGAAGTGGGATCGAATATTTAAATGAGTGCTATAATGTATTCATAATTGACAGGCCAATAAATTCATAAATGTGATTATTTTACATTGTTAGCGAATGTTTAGAAGTGCTTGTCCCTAAACAAGGGGGGCCGTCAAAGTCAAAAAGCGTTGATCAAAGATCATTTGCTAAAAGTAATTCCTAAAATGAAGTAGATTATTTGGGTCACATTCAAGGTCACCCAAAGGTCAATTTTGAATTTTACAAGCAATTCAATTTCATTGGTCACCAATGTGATCAAATTGAAAGTACACAAAATATTTAAAATTGTACCTCATTTTGAGGGCCATACTTAAAAATTCTGAAGGAGGTCAATATTTTTTGTTCAATGTGAAGACAAACTTTCATATACGATTTAATTTGCTTGTAAGATACAAAGGTACAGTGGAAATAAAGTTTTGGAACTTTTGTTTCATACATGACAAGTCTATTTAATTGACCAAATGTTGTCATTAATAGAACTTTTGCAAAGGACCACAAGGCAATACTACATGACAAATGAGCCGCGTCACGACAAAACCAACATAATGGGTTTGCGACCAGCATGGATCCAGACCAGCCTGCGCATCCGCGCAGTCTTATCAGGATCCATGCTGTTCGCTTACAAATCCTATAGCAAGTAGAGAAAGCATAGATCCTGATCAGACTGCGCGAATGCGCAGGCCAGTCTGGATCCATGCCGGTCGCAAACGCATTATGTTGGTTTTGTCATGACGCGACTCAAATATCTTAGGTGTAGGTAACGTACTTTTACACAGTCAAGTAGATACTAGTAAATATGTTTTCCTGTATAATTCCAAGTAAACTGACCAAAAGATTTTATTTTGAGTCAATATTTAGCTCCTGTGACCATGTGCTTCAGACCTGAACAATTTATTATTAAGTTTTGTAGCAAGGGTCAAATAAGCTACCCTATTTAAATCACATCCTGCGTTATGTTTAAAGTATGTTGAGCTTACACATCATCTAGTTAAAAATATTCTTTAGATATTCGAGAGATACAATACAGTCATGATGTCTATTTCAGCACAATTCCAGTTAAACTTACACTCCTTTATCTTTATCAAATGTAACATATTGGTTATCAGTGGACCACCATACTACTGTAGCCGTTCAATTTCCTTAATGTGATAGTCTTCACAACTACTTCATTAGAATCAAAAGTAAGAACATCATTTCATGATTTTTATTTCATTTGGTATTATGAGATTCTATATTACAAAATCATGCATCAATAAATATTTCAAACAAACTCAAACAATGCATAACAAATTGCTGATAATGCACCAGTTAATTGACACCATCGCCACACCATCATCGGCAAGTAGCGTGAACTTTGACATTTCGACTTTCCAATCCCTGATAAATCCCAATCTAACAGAGATATTCAGATGGTTAAATTCCAGCAAAATCCCCTGTCACTGAAACATACATGCGGCCAGTTTGGCGCCGAAACAAAATCATCGCATTAATATAGCAACTTGGGACAAACGAGAGGTCAAAAGCCTGCTCCATCTCACTTTGTGTGCACTTACCCAGTGGTGGGTTGGCCATGATTACAATAACTGGTGCATAAAACAATGTTTTAAATCAAGCTTTATACCTGTCCTATCAATGAGTTCATTTAAATTTAGAACTCTTAAGACCATGGAAAAATTACATTCTAATGTTATGAGACACAAATGGTAAATAGAAACGGTGTATTGTTATGTGAAATATAACTGAATATTAATGTGCAACATAACTGAATCGTACATTGTATTATGTGAAAAGTACCGTTTACTGTGTTATGTGAAAATTAACCAATTTGACATAGTCATAAACATGTATTTTACAGAAAATACCCTGCGTTTTGGGTAATCAAAAAAATACATTTACACTAATTATTGAAAATGATAAAGAGGCTGATCATGGCCCTGGAAAATTCTTAAGTTATCCATTGCTAGAATTGGTCATAATTTCTTCAATTTAGAAGTAGGTTGCTGATTCACATTTTAAGGTAATCCAAGGTCAAATTTTCATTTCCCAAACAAGTGGTTAAGTTGGGAAGAGTGAAAGTAAAAGGGATAAAATTGGTCATACATAAATGAACCTGATGTCCAAATTGAGGACCAAAGCTGGAAAATTCTAATGCACCTATTTCAAGGAATGCAATAATTTTACACAATCAAAAAAAATACAAGTATATTATTGTGTATCTGAAGACCATAGCCTTAAAATGTATAACTACACTCACTACACTGAAAAATTTTTTTTTTAGCTTTTGCTATTTACACAACAAGTCTATGTTACATAAAACAATAAAAAATTCACAGATGTAAACCTTCTGACTGAAAAGAATGTAAAAAATCAAAAAAAGAATGAGGTAAAAATAAAGATATCAGTGTTTATGAACATCACCTTACGCAAACAACAATTAACAAAGAAAAACCCATGTGTATGCAAGTGTGTTATTTTAAAATAATGAAAGCTCTTTTAATCATCTTGAAATTGTTCTAAAGTAAAAGTTCTGATTATGTTCTATACAAATAGTCACAAAGCCTAAACAATCATTTCACAACACGCTAATTTCATTTAAATACATACAGTAAGTCATAAATCTTATCAATTAATTAAAAACAACCCATTAATGTTAGTTGTTTTGCTTGGTTTGGTTTTGTTGGTCTAAATTTCCAAATTATTCACTTCACACTTTTTTAACACTTAAATTTAGTTTCATTTCATATCAAGTATAAGTGTTTTTGGATTCTCCAGATATGATTTCCAGAGATTCGAGAATCTCGCCATAGTGGCGCCCTCTATCACACGATGATCGGCAGACCAGCTGACTTGCATAATGTGTCGTTTAACCACAGTGTCGTTCTCGTCAAATCTTGGTAAAGCCTGAAAACCATGTGTCGAACAATTAAGATAACAAAAATAATCAGAAATAAATAAACAGTTACCTGTTGGCCCTCACACTTACCTTTCAATTTCATGATGTGGAATAATTCATTGACAAATAATAGCCTCAAATTACATCATATATAGCCATAAAAATTCAGAGCAAAAACAAAACTCATTTCACTTTAAACCATGCTATTTAATGACATAAAAATCATTCACAAATAAATACTTTGAAACAATAGAAGTGAGATAACAAGAGGGCCATGATGGCCCTGAAGTCGCTCACCTGTATATAGGCCCACAGAGCGAGGCCAGTTTAAACCCCAGGGCTTTTATTTGAACAAAATTGGTGGACACCCATTAGAAGATGTTTCATGCTAAACATCTAAGGTCTAGCTTGTTGAGTTTTTAAAAAAAAGATTTTTAAATTTTTACTATACACATATAGTTAAAAGCAATGACATCCCTAGGGTGGGGCCAGTTTTGACTCCAGGGCTTTTATTTGAACAAACTTTGAAGACACTCACTAGAAGGTGTTTCATGCTTAATATCTAAACTCTAGCTATTTGTTTTTATTCAAAGAAGATTTTTGAGTTTTTGCTATACACATATAAGGAAAATTAATGTCTCCCCGGGGCAGGGCCAATTTTGACACTAGGGCTTTTATTTGAACAAACTTTGAAGACACTAACTGGAAGATGTTTCATGCTTAATATCTAAACTCTAGCTATTTGGGTTTTTTCAAAGAAGATTTTTTTAAAAAGCTTTTGCAATACACATATAAGGAAAATCAATGACCCCCGGGACAGGGCCAATTTTAATCCCAGGGCTCTTATTTGAACAAATTTGGTAGACACCCATTAGAACATCTTTCATGCTAAGTATCTTAGCTCTAGCTCTTTGGGTTCTCTAAAAGAAGTTTTTTTAAGTTTTTACTATATGCATATAGGGAAAATCAATGACCCCCTGGGGCGGGGCCAATTTTGACCCAAGGGCTTTTATTTGAACAAACTTGATAGACACTCATTAGAACATCTTTCATGCAAAGTATCTTAACTCTAGCTCTTTGGGTTCTTTAAAAGAAGATTTTATAAGTTTTTACTATATGCATATAGGGAAAATCAATGACCCCCTGGGGCGGGGCCAATTTTGACCCCAGGGCTTATATTTGAACAAACTTGGTAGACACCCATTAGAAGATGTTTCATGCTAAATATCTTAGCTCTAGCTCTTTGGGTTCTTTAAAAGAAGATATTTTAAGTTTTTTCTATCGGTTGCCATGGCAACAAGAGTTCTGCATGGAATTAAATTCTTTGAACAATTTTTAAAGGTGACCACCAAAGGAACATTCCTGTGAAGTTTGGATGAAATTGGCTCAGCAGTTTATGAGGAGATGTCATTTAAAGTAAAAGTTTACGGACGCCGGACGGACGCCGGATGAAAAGCGATCATAAAAGCTCACCCTGTCACTTTGTGACAGGTGAGCTAAAAATGCAATGTGCAACTTCTGATGAAATATTCATCTTACATCTTAGCTTGCAGAAAAAGTACATACATTTGTACTATTTATTAAAATTTGCATTCATATCATAATGAATAAGTTCGTATCAACTTGAAAAATCTAGCAACTACAGTAGAACTTTGATAAGTTAAAGTTGAAGGGACTTGCATAAAAACTTTGACACATCCGGGCTTTGACTATGAATTGGTTTCATATCTAGATTTTCATAACATTGAGAAAATCGATAAATTGATGCTTGACACATTGAAGTTCTACTGTAGTTATCAGGTCATGGTTTTTGCACACATTTTCTATTTCTAGCTCAGCTTATCAAACGTTGTCAAAGGTTTAACTATGCAAACAAACTTGACTACTAGTAATAAACAAGAGCACCGCTAGACGGAGCATTATATGCCCGAAAGTGATTTTTTTTTTTTAGTAAAGATGAAACATTTGTAAGACATGGGAATTAAATAAAGTATTACCTCCTACATCCTCCTTTGAAAGTTCAATATTGTTCAAAACTGTTTTCAAATCTAAGGTAATAGTAACCTTGACCTTGTGACCCCAAAATCAATAGGGGTCTTCTACACAATATGGACAATCATACTATGAAGTTTAAACACAGTGGGTCAAATGAAACTTTAGTTATGTTCAGAAAACTGTTTTCAGTTTTAAGGTAATAGTGACCTTGACCTTTGACCTTGTGACCCCAAAATCAATAGGGCTCTTCTACCAAATATGGACAATCATCCTATGAAGTTTGAATATTGTGGGCCAAATGGAACTTAAGTTATGCTCAAGAAACTGTTTTCAATTTCTAAGTAATAGTGACCTTGACCTTTGACCTTGTGACCCCAAAATCAAAAGGGGTCTTCTACCAATATGGACAATCATCCCAGTGTTGCATCTAGGCCACGTGGCCGCGTGATTTGTGCATTTTTTATGCAGATCGCGCATTTTTATGAATTCAACGCGCGCCAAGTCGCGCATCTGACGATTTTTTAACTTAATTCAGTTTATCTTCATCGAATCTTGAAAGCTTCAGCCATGTTTGTTTTCACTCGTGGTAATGACTAAAATACGTACTAAATCGCGTGTAGCAGCCGACTGGGTCATCTTGTGTGTGTTTTGTAGTATTCGTCAATATTTTTATTTTTTCTACTTTCGTTTTTGAGCGGACGATAGCTGTCAAAAATGCCTGAACGTAAAATAAATGAATTCTTTTCGATAAGTCATAGTGTAAGGTAAATGTATGTCCCCCACATTTTTTTCAAATCCCCCACATTTTTCAGTCGAGTGGGGGACAATCCCCCATAATTTTGAAATTCTAGATGCAACACTGTCATCCAATGAAGTTTGAACACTATGGGCCAAATGGAACTTAAGTTATGCTCTGGAAACTGTTTTCAGTTTTAAGGTCATAGTGACCTTGACCTTTGACCTTGTGACCCCAAAATCAATAGGGGTCTTCTACCTAATATGGACAATCATCCTATGAAGTTTGAACACTGTGGGCCAAATGGAACTTAAGTTATGCTCCGGAAACTGTTTTCAGTTTTAAGGTCATAGTGACCTTGACCTTTGACCTTGTGACCCCAAAATCAATAGGGGTCTTCTTCCCAATATGGACAATCATCCTATGAATTTTGAATATTGTGGGCCAAATGGAACTTAAGTTATGCTCCGGAAACCAAATTGCTAACGGACAGACGGACGGACAGACGGACGGCCGTACCAATTTTTCAGGTTTATGAGCTATTTCTATTGTTCTTTTCTTTTGTTTCCTTGTGGGCTAACTATTGTTTCCTTATGAGCTAACTATTATTTACGGAATGAAGTCCTTTGTTCTCTTTTGTCCCAATGTACCGTTAGTTAGCTCATATACCTAAAATGTTTGTGCGGATGGACAGACGGACGGACACCAGGGGGTATAACATAATATGCCCGAAATTAAAAAGACTAAAATACTAACCTGTATTTTACCCAAAGCACCAATAGCTACTTGGGGAGGGAGTATCACAGGTCGTGCATAGGTTCCACCAATCTAAACAAAAAAAGGTGATTACATTAAAAATTTAATGAGTTACCATGAAAATATTCATACCGATAAATATAATTCCTTTTTAAAGTTTACTACATGTATTAAGCGTCTTTGATCTACTTCCACATCAGACAAAAATCTTGTAAAATGTACATGGATTTTATAAAGGTTCCCTGACAGATAGTTCCTAAGAAGTTTTCAAAATCTACAATGAGGTTTTGGAGAATATGTTTAAAAATAATGAAAACGACATGGATGGATGACAAATGATACACTCTTGCATATCAGACTGGTGATTTGTTAAATTTAACCATGACGGAAATTTCATGGAAGGTGCAAACCGAAGTGTCATATGTTCCAGAATGAAGTGTGTTTTTGATGTCACTTTGCCGATATTAATGAAGTTATGAATTCATACGCTACTGTAAGCAGTTACAGTTACAATAGTTACAAAGGAAATGACATATGTTTTCTTTCTTTCTTTTTTTTATTGGGTTTTATGTTGCACCAACACAGTATAGGTCATAAGGCGAGTTTCAAGCTTTACTGGTGGAGGAAGACATCAGGAGACCTTTCATGAGTTATTTCAGATACAAACAATTTGCTGAGTAGAACTGCTGACGTTCCGTTAGCTTACTGGATAGCTTTCACAAATGAAAGAATCCAAAGCCCCTAATGGGAGTCGAACCCACAGGGGTGAGGAACAAGTCATTATGTTATGTTATCATAAGGTTTGGAAGTCATCGACCTTAACCATGCAACCACAATTGCCCCTGACGTGTTTCTATTACAAATTAATGCATTAAGGTAAACTTTATAAAATATGGTAGAACATGAAAGAAATGAAAGGTGTTTTACTGTTATCCTCTGAGCACAAGTGACTATTATGCCATCAATGATAGCCAAATCATAAACAATATACTCATCACCTTAGTGCAGTTGCAGGTTAAGTCCTTCTAAATTTAATAGGAGTTACTGCACTCAGGTGTCTACCTCATTAAACTTTGTGATATTTTTTTGTATAAAATAAGCTCAAATTCCTTTATTTATCTTTTGATGGTTGGCTAAGAAATGTAAACTTACTGATCCTATATTTGAAAGAGAAAATGTTCCACCAGACAGGTCATCAGTACCAAGTTTACCCTTTATACCAAGATCTCTCAGTCGGAGTAGCTCTGCTGCAATCTCAAAAATGCTCAATGATTGTACATCCTTGATACATGGTACCATAAGCTCATTTCTTATATCCATTGCTATGCCTATATTGTGAGAAGCCTGAAATCATTAAAAAAACAATCAATAACACATGTAGAGAGCATGCCTGTACATGAGTAATTTAACTACATCTACGCAATTACTTAAAATTTTACACAGGTATTCTGCGTCTACCTGTTATACAAGTGACTTAAGGATTTTGCAATTTTAGACCCATCTTTGATGAAATTATTATGTACTTTTTTCAGCGCAACTAAAATTTCTTTGAAATAATTTTTGAAATGACATCATCAAATCATGATGTAAAAAAGACCAGGCACCTGTGTAGAGACACCAAAGTTCTTTTCTCCTGTCATAAGTAGTTTTCTTTGATATCCAAATACCTTTAAATGGGTTTTAGGTACATCATTTAAACATTCCCTTTTGAGATGTTCATGAAGATTGCAGACAACACAACAAAAACGAAGTATAAAAGTTTTAGAATGCTAGATTATACTGTCCTGAATTTTATACAAAATCATACAGTCCTGAATTTTTATACTAGATCATACTGTCCTGAACTTTATACTAGATCATACAGTCCTGAATTTTATACTAGATCATACTGTCCTGAACTTTATACTAGATCATACTGTCCTGAACTTTATACTAGATCATACCATCCTGAATTTTATACTAGATCATACAGTCCTGAATTTTATACTAGATCATACTGTCCTGAACTTTATACAAGATCATACTGTCCTGAATTGTATACTGAATTTTATACTAAATCATACAGTCCTGAATTTTATACTAGATCATACAGTCCTGAATTTTATACTAGATCATACTGTCCTGAACTTTATACTAGATCATACTGTCCTGAATTTTATACTAAATCATACTGTCCTGAACTTTATACTAGATCATACAGTCCTGAATTTTATACTAGATCATACTGTCCTGAACTTTATACTAGATCATACTGTCCTGAACTTTATACTAGATCATACTGTCCTGAACTTTATACTAGATCATACTGTCCTGAACTTTATACTAGATCATACTGTCCTGAACTTTATACTAGATCATACTGTCCTGAACTTTATACTAGATCATACTGTCCTGAACTTTATACTAGATCATACAGTCCTGAATTTTTATCTAGATCATACTGTCCTGAACTTTATACTAGATCATACTGTCCTGAATTTTATACTAAATCATACAGTCCTGAATTTTATACTAGATCTTATTTAATTTTACCCATGAAATATGGTGCTATATCAGTCAAATATATTTCATATTTTTTAAAAATAAATATGAAATATAAATATGAAAGTGGGCGGAGTCAAAAATCATATTTATTTTAAGGGACTTTTTTCACCGTTTAGTTTGAAAAATCTGATAAATACTAAACAACTTTTTCTTGAATATTGTTTTGAAAACTATCTAGCATGATAGAAAATGGTCTAACTAAGAAAATTAATCCGAACACCAATATCTTTAATTCAGTAATTAACGCTGTACAGACGTTTAAAGAGTTGTTTACATGATGTCACAATGTAGCGCCAAACAGCGCGTGCTTACGCATAAATTACTGCGCTCTGTACAATTGCAGTTGGTAGCAAGCAAGGGGATTCGTTTCCATTCTCTTTGATAATAAAATTAAATAAAAAAGGTTATTTTTTCGTTTTTTTGTGAAATATGGAATATATTTTCACTCAACATCATAAAATGCAACATATTTTCACTCGCCGTACCGGCTCGTGAAAATATGTGGCATTTTATAATGTTTTGTGAAAATATATTCCATATTTCACGCAAACGAAAAAATATCCTCTTAATACTGTCCTGAACTTTATACTAGATCATACTGTCCTGAACTTTATACTAGATCATACTGTCCTGAACTTTATACTAGATCATACTGTCCTGAACTTTATACTAGATCATACTGTCCTGAATTTTATACTCGATCATACTGTCCTGAACTTTATACTAGATCATACTGTCCTGAATTTTATAAAGATTGCATAGTTGTTAGCTCTGGGCATGGTAGCTTCTTAGGAGAAGTTTTATATAGAGTATATTAAATATTTTTGCTTTTTGAAGTCTATTGTTTGTTCCTTACACATATTAATGCCTCAGACTGAAACCCTATATACCATAGAGGTATTACCTCTGGAAATGGACATTAAAGAATCATTCCTGTAATGTTTCAAATGGATTTGTGGAAATTGCTTTTTAAAAGAAATTGCAGATTATTAATTATGTAAGAATATAATATTCCATCAAATAAACTCAGGTGTACTTTAAACAGAACATACCTTATATGTTATATTTTCACATTTTTCATCAACACTTGAGTTCAGGATCGGATATTGGATTAATGCCATAGATGCTGCCTGCAAAAAGAAATATATTTTTAATAACATGCCATTAAATTAAAATTTATACCAAATTTACTGTAAAAAAACAACACATTTTTTGTTCTGTACTTACTTCTTTTTTTCAATTTGAGAAATATATTAAATTTGATAAAATTAACAAATAACCATTGTATATGAACAGTATAAATGTGAGTTCAAAACGTCACAATATATGCAAATATCTCACGCTATGGAGTCTGATGTATGAAAATTTAATTCTGAGAACAATTAACTGCCAAACTGTTTCAGATATCTGGATGAGTTGACAATAATAAATCTAATTAGAAATAAAATCTGGAGTAAATACCTTTATAAAAACCGGCATGTAAGAAAACTTCAGACCTCTTTTGGCCATCTCTCCACCCACATCTTGTTTAAATTTCACTAATGATGTCATATCAATTTCATCGTAATAACCAAAGTGCGGTATAGCTTGTGCAGCGGTCATTGTTTTCACCATAGCTTTACGTATACCCTTAATTGCCTCAGTATGGTCCTTACCAAGCACGGACAGGGGCCGGTATGTTACATCAATTTCGGGAATTTCAGCTGGTGCTCTTTCCGGTACCCGTTTTATTTCTGGTTTGACCTCAACTTTAATGTCTTTTGATGCTAAGTTGTATAATAAAAGAAAGAATAAATATTAATTTCATCTAAAATGAAGTTTTTATCAAAGTTTGAAACAGAAAAAATACATATTTCGTATAAAATTATGCCCAAAAGGCATAAAGTAGCTTTATTGCATGACAACTCTTGTTTCCATGTAATTTACCATTATGTATTTCTGTATATTACTCAGAAATAATACAACATTGACACACACAAAAGCATGCACAAAACATCATGTGATCAAATGAATCTGGCAAGAGGCTCCCTTTATAACAATGTCATGATCTTTTGTAATTAAATTTTTTTACTACTGTCCAAGTGCATTGTTTAATATTGCATTGTATGATAATTACTGTTTTTTTTGCCAAGGATTCAAAAAGAATCCTAAATACATTAAGCAAGGACTTGTGCACAACATCCAGAAATCCTCCAGAGAAGGACAGTAAAGCACAAAACACATGAGTGAAAATAAGAAAGGGTGAGCAGTGGCCATTTATCTTTTTGAGTTTTTTTTTTATGACAACAAACATGGTATAGGTAATATGACAACTTTTAAGCTTTACTGGTGGAGGCAGACCTCAGGTGCCCCTCAGGCACTAACTGGCACTTGAGTAGAACCACCAACATTCCATAAGCTAGCTGAATAGCTTCCTCACAACATGAAAGAATCCAAAGTCTCTGGCGGGCAAAGCACTTTTTCTGAGATCACAGCTTTATTTTATTTGTTTCATTTGTTGGATTTTAAGTCACACACTGTAAAAAGTTTTTTTATGGTGACTTGCCAACTTGTCTGCTGTGGGGGGGGGGGGGGGAGGACACCTTAGGTGCCCCTTCATGCATAATTTCAGATAAAAGCAGACACCTTAGAACCACTGATAACTTTCGTTAGCCAGCTGTATAGCTTCCCCATATGAACGAATCCATAAAGTCCCTGACAGGATTTGGAACCAAAGGCAAAGCTGTGAGGGGCAAGTGATTTGAAACCAGTCACCTTAACCTATTGGCCACTAAGGCCCTGATAAGTTATTTTAAGATTATTGAAAAGTTTACGTTTAGGAGCTGCAGTCTGTTTTCCATCTAAGAATCTTACAATGTCCTCCTTCAATATTCTACCATCTCTACCTGTTCCAACAACATCACTTAATCGTATCTGTAAATATATACAATGAAAAGTGTTGTACTCAACAAGAGAGCCTGAAAAGGTCAAAGGCTGTTGGTCTACACAACATACATTTATGAACCAGAAATGCGTCAACTATTCATATTAAGTACAATGATTATATAAAATTTTCCATGAAAGTTCAACGACAGTTTCTTTCCTCCTTGAATGCCAGTGGCAGTTATACCAATGCCATGTAAACATCAGAGAAGTCTGTTCATACTTGATTCTGCTGACTACTTTTTTAGAGCAAAAATAAAAGTGGATTATAAAAAGTACATGGAGGTATAAAACTCCTTTTTTCGCTACTTTTTATGATAAAGAATTTCACATTTCTTCAGATGAGAAGCATCTAAGATGCTCTAAAATCATTATCTCAACATTATAAAACTCATGTTTACCCTTTCTAAAGAAGAAAATAATTATTTATTTCTGAGGCATAATGTGCCTTTAACTTGCAGACTGACAAATAAGTTTTAATTAATACAGTTTAACCCTCATACAGTTAAATCTGACAAAGGCAGTGGAAAGTGTTGCTCAAGGGATTAATGGCTTGATTCTCGGAGGGAAGTTGTTCAAATTTAATCTGTCTGATGAGCTTCAGATAAGGGAAATCCATTTGAATTACATGCGTGTAAATAAATTAATTAATACAAATGTACCTTATTTTCCATTGCTATTTTTCTGACAGAGGGTGTGGCCAATACCTTATGACCTTTTACCCTCTGCATCATGGACGAATCACTGTCACTAGATGAAGAGGAGGAGGAGCTATCATCCTCAAATTTATCAACCTTCACATCTAAAAATAGAAAGCAAAATAAATATGTGTAACATTTGCTAGTCTTTTAAGTCTTTTAATGTAACAGAGGACATTTTTTTTTTCATTTCAAAAAGAATAGTTGAATTTATTCTAAAAGAAAACCATTTTAAAGAAAAGAATTTTGTAAGAAGAGTAAGTGATCGCAACCCTCTGGGCTTTATAATTTGTGCATGCGTGGAGTCACCCGCGGATATCTATAAAGCTTAAAAATGCAAGCTGGATAGTATTCTAAAATGACATGACTCAACCTCTCTGGCAAGATTCAAACTAAATAAGACAAGTGCGAGTGTTCTGAGTCAGCAACCTTTACCACTAACTCGGCCTTGAAGCCTCACCTCATAAAAGTTGATATGAAATAGTTACCTGAAGAGGCAGCCGCATTTGTTTCTATCTCTACAAGTGGTTTTCCAACGAGGGCAATATCATCTATATTGTAGCAAAGTTTCTTCACAACTCCGTCAAATCTACTGGTGATAGTAACAGAGGCTTTGTCACTCTGTACCTCACATAGACTGTCAAACTGACTGACTGTGTCACCCTCATTCACGTACCTAAAAACAGAATCAAAACTTGAGACTGTAGACCAGTCCAACATAAATAAATTTGGGCAGAGCATCTCAGATATAAAAAACAGCACTCAATCTTGAAAGATAATATACTGCATGCTTACTATTAATTAAAAACTTTAAGTGACATTATGCGCGTTTTCTGCACTGTAAAGTTGAGCTGAAGTAGATATATATTTAAATAAATTGACTTTTATAATTGTGTCTGAAAAGCAAGTGATGATCAAAAAAATCATTTAGGATAAATTATCAAATCTGTTTAAAAAGACTGTCCCACTCCCTTTTTAAAAACTGAACCATAAAAAAATGTTCAAAAGATAAATATTTATAAACATTTCTTGAGTCACTGAGTAACTGATTATACAATCATCTAAAGTAAATTATGTAAACTTAAAGCAACAGTTGCAAAATTTGTAAACACTCTTACTTTTACCTGTACACCCAACACTTGGATGAGCATAATGTCACTTAAATACTATAAAATAATAATAGATAAATGTTTGAAATATAAATAATACATAAATTATTTAATATATTAATCATATAAAAGCATATACATTGTATTTACCATTCTTTAATCTGGACCTCTCTGATACCTTCACCTATATCTGACAGATTAAATTGAACCAGTTCATTCAGGCATGCTGTAAACAGATAAGTAAGGTATCTTCGTTAACTTCAAGATACACTTGGTACATTGTGCATCAAAATACAGTCACAGCAATGTTTTCTAATAGCAGACATCAAAATATTTAAAACATTCAAACACCACTAATTATAAATAATCATTCAAATTTAGTAGCTCATAAAGCTGCTTCAACTGATGTGAAATAAAGATATATTTCATAAAAATGTGAAGATAAACACATGAAACATCTATTCGCAGCAAAAATAAACACAACAAGATTGAATGCTTATCATTGCCTAAATCAGTGTTTAATATTCAAATCAGTGATTTGATGTTCATTCTTGATAATCTGCAGGCAAGATAAAAACAGTGCTCAGCTGTTGATAGGACAGCATGCTCTTCCCCCCCCCCCCCCAAGTCCTTCATAGTAAAACAAGACCCTAGAAAATGTAGAATCTTCAAAGTTCATAAAGGGCCAGAATTCTATTAAAATCTGTTAGAGGTATGGATCTTACACAGTGAGCTCCTATAATATCATGCTCTCAAATAAGTGTGTGAAGTTTCATTTCACTCCCTTCTGTAGTTTTAGAGATACTAACTTGCACGCAAAAACTTAGCCTAAGTGTGAATTTGACACCTGGATGAGTACAATACATGTAGCTCCCTATTATTCCAATAGCAGAGCTAAAAACTGTAAGAAGCAGATATAGTACCTTCAAGTCCAGGCAATCTCCTGGATTAGAGTTAGAACCCTATGTATATTTCAGAAGTAAAACTTGACGTATATAATACACTACAGAGAACAGAATAAACCATACATGTATAATTAAGTACTCCTGGTTTAGACCCCGGGGAATATTCCAGGATATACTAGCCCAAGTTCAGATGAAAATGTTTACTTACCAGAAACATGAATATTCTGTACACTTTGACAATGAGTCGCAGGTCTTTCTAAAAGGTTTCTTTTAAAAACCAAGGAGGCAGTGGGTTTATTCTGTAATATAAATAAGTTTGAGTTTGGTTTTTTAACTACAGAACTATCAGTGGTTCTGTTTCGGCACAAGACCTGTTCAGACTCATTCAATATCATTTTTTCCAGGAAACCAGCAATTCATAAGAAAATGACTTGTCAAAAGATGGTTTGAGACACACTGCATTATATGATCAACAAAAAATTCAAATGTCAGAAATATTTCAATGAAAACAGCATTGATAAACCGGAACTGTTCCTGTATCAGAACTGCTTACTTGACTGTAGTTCAAAGAAAGAATAACATGACTATGTCTATTTTCCAGTAAGAATACTGGATGAAATACATTATGATACAAAATTAGTAACTTTGATGAAATAATGTTTTAAAACCTGGCATAGTCATGAGTATTTTGGAATTTGGCAGGGATTTCACAATCTTAGTAATAGGAATTACACCAAGGCACTGTTTGTCCTTGGGGGAGGCAAATGACTGGCACATATTTATGTTGTAAATTTATCGTATTCTGTTAAAGCTTAGCTATGTAAGTCATCATGTATATGTACCCCTCCCACAACATTCACATTACAATTTAAATGACCTTTTAAATTTGGTGAAAATTATAGATTTACTCTGCATGTCATCGTTAAACGTGGTTTGCAAAATTTAATAGACTGTCAACAGATAATTTTGCAATCATAAAATAAAGTAAACAATAATTCAGACCTGATGTATTTTAGCAAAACGTAGCCAATTTTTAGTAATCCTTCTAGCTGCCATTTTATAGACTGGTTCCAGATGCCCTGGATAATTTCCATGAACCGTACTAGATCCGTATTGCTACACAATGATTTTTTTATCGTTTATCGTTTTATAAAAAGCCGCCACTTTGAAAAGCAATGTTTTAAAGTGTTTAACCCTAATGGGACTGTTTATGTTAACTTATTATAACTTAGTCAGAATATGTATACCATTTTCCTTACTACTTTTTTATATACAGAATATTACATTTTTTTTCAACAAAACTCACAATTAAAATTTTGTTTTAGCCATTTTTATAATATAATTGAGCTGATAAACACCAAAAAATATTACTAAAAAACACATTTTCCTTATATGTTTTTAGTCAAAGATTGAAAGAAATCATAGAAGTGAAGAGAATTTTCTTACAACTGAATTTTGTTGAAAGAAGTATTCTTGTATTGTAAAACTTAATGTTGAAAAGAAAATCAATACCAACTTTTTATTGAACATATAAAAAAAATATTACATGTTGTGTCAATTTTTTCTACCCGACCACCTAGTGTTTCATACAATTTCCTTTTTCTGAAACCATCCTAGTTAATGTGCCCAATATTATCATTTATTAAAGCGTGTTTTAAGTATTGATATTTTCTATTGTTCAGTTTGTGTATGCATACCATATGCTTTGACCATTTCTTGCTAATGCTTCTGGGTTAGAAATTAGATAGGGGTCACTGAAATATGGCCCTTTCGGTATCTTTGAGCTAAATAAATGTATGTTTGGTTGATATGGTAAAAAAATATTTATTTATAAATATATTGCTATTGTTTGTGTTAGAATTAATGACGAAAGGAAACTTTTGAAGTATCTAAAGTTAAAATAAGTCTCCCCCAGTATTCTTTATCATTGTGGTCAGAATACTCTTAGGGTCACTTAAACTGGTCCTTCGAATTCAACGATATGCGGAGTTTTACAGCGAGCAACTGACAATTCATTTCACTTTTTACAATTCGCATTTATGTGCAAATAACAACTTTCTAGCCTAAAATCTGTTATTGTATAATTAGTCAAACTGGTCAATTTTAGTAATAGTGGACATACACTTAACAACGTTTCTTCAATCAATTGGTCATCCCTCTAAATTCATTTGTTTTAGAAAGTCTTAGATATGTCATCTTGTATTCTCTTGTTCTGGGTGTAATCTTTTATGTACTTACACTTCAGAAACAAAACATTAAAACATATAAAATGCCTAAAATATTAGTACAGGTACGTAGCTGAGCCGCTGGAAATGCTGGCCGTTAGAATATCTCTTTGCACCTTTATATATCACTTATATTTTAGCTTAGAGGAAAATTTTAACTAGACCTATCCGTGGACAATCGACTCCAGGAGTTGAATATTATATAGACAATTTGGTACAATTCTGTAAAAGTGCTTTGTAGACTAACAGGTCTGCCCATGATCGTCATTCGATATATTAATTTTGAAGCTAATACCTCGCAAAAGTTCTTAGAAATGGTACATGTTTTATATAAAAATCTGGAAACAAAGTGATCGCCCGGAAGCATTAATCACAATAAAATTACATGAAAAAATGCAGACTCGGTTTGATTGAGTCTGTACACAAATAGAAATAACTAAACAAAAATGGCTTTCAGCATTATCTGTCCATTAGATATGTTTTTCAAATTTGATAGTGAACAAGTAGTATACTTAAAGTTTAAAGTGAATATCTTCGATACCTTTTGAGAAATATACTTTTACAATTGTACATTAACTTAAATCAAAATTCAGTGAGAATCTGACCGTATATAGTAACAAATTAGTAAAAAATTGGACATAGCTTTGCCAAAAAAAAAAAATAGGATTAGCTGCTCATCTGAAATGGTGTCAAAATTTTGGTCGTGTACGATCATATATACCAAGTTTGAAGCAAAAAAATAAGTTTGATAGCAGAGACTTGTGATCATAAAGCTCTATGTTGATAGTTTGTGAGAAAAAAAGTAAACCAAGACAACAAAAAAATATCCAATTAATGGCTGAAAAATGGCATACATTGTAACTTGACATAAAAAATTGTCACCTGTAAATTCGGAATAAAAGTCATATAAATATGAACTTAAAATCAAACAAGGTGCATGTACATGAACTGCTTATTACAATTTTTGAGTTATCTGCACATTTCAAATGTGTTGTGCAAAAGATTTTTGTACTTGACAAAAGTAGCTATAAATGTGTTGAGCAAAAGCAAATGAATGAATGAATTAATTAATTGATCAATCAATCAATGAGTCAATCAATTAATCAATCAATGAGTCAATCAATGAATATTAAAATCAGACATATTGATAATTCAAATTGAATACCCCTTTTAAGCCAGCATGAGGTGCAAGAGAGATGTTGCATTTTTCCAATATCCGTCATGAACAGACTCGATCAAATAGTCTGCAATTTTCATGTAATTTTGTTCATTCCATTGCTTTTACTACTTTTATCAGGGCAAAGAATAAAAGAAGCTTATAGAGGCGCGCCAAGTTTTGAGAAATAGGAGAAGTGCCGGGGTTTAGACCTCACCAAGGAAAAAACCAGTCTACCGGATGTTGATAGTCAATTACTGTCAAAATAGTAAACATTCGGCAATTTGACCATTTAATTAATTCTTTATTTCATAGCAGCAACAGTTATGTGACTCTAAATAGTCATGGAAAACTACGAAAAGATAAGAGTTGTAGGCAGAGGTGCATACGGGTAATTGTGAAAACTTCATTAGATGAATAGTAAACGGATATAGTATTTCGGATATTCACATTTTACAATTTTAATTAGTTAAATGTTTCTCTATACTACGCTATATTAGGAGAATATTTTGTTTGTTTAAGGTGAAAAAACTTGATGTGTTAGAAAACTATAAGATCTATCTAACCCAAATTTTACAAAAATTAAATTGTTTAAAAGAAAAAGTCTGTCTATAAAATTAAAACAGTCATTTATTTTAGTGGCCCCTGTAATAATAAATATAGATAATTTATGCTTAAACTTGTGTATTTACAATATTTTAATGTGGAAATAATAAATTTAATCTATTTGTCCTCAAATGCTTGTTTTATTTCTTTTTGATCCACTCTTCAGGATCCTTTTGAAAAACCTTTACCTCTTAAGGATGGGTTTGGATTGGTACAAAATCCTTTTGAATTTGAACTTAGAATATAATTCTGTCTTTTGATCTGTCATATGTTGTTGTACGGATCACAACATCTGTCCCAAGGGGACCTGTCTATTAGAGCGTAACTAGGTTTGCCAAGTTGCGGCCCATGGGGTGGAAGCGGGTACCCGAGAGATGGATATTCCAACAGGAACCAAAACACATGTCAGATATTTTTTTTTTGCATATTCTATCATATTTAAAATTCTAAGTAACCTTAAATTTGGCTTAATGGAAATTAATGTCATTACATCCATGTCAATTTTCTTACAATAGCGTATAAATTCATAAAAGCGAATTCAAATGACTTCATTCAAGGCATGCAGTTCCCGTACAAAAAAAACTCCTGTTTTACAACTGTAAGACGACTGAAAAACACCTGTTTTTGTAAAAATACAGGTCTTAGGGACCTGTGTTTGCTGAATTTGACATTTCGACTAAGAAATACAGGTGTATTTTAACAATTTTACAGGTGTATTTTTGAGACAAGACCTGTGTTTTAGATGTACACATGTAATTCTGATACTTAGAAAATATTGAGCTGATATTTTGTGCTGAAAATAATCTAAGTCCAAAACTACAACTGTATTTTCAATGATACAGATGTACAATACACACTAAGAAAATCTGTTAGAGAAATTGTTCTTATTTAAATACTTTAATATCTTTGATGCAATTGTACAGACTGCATGCACATTATTTACATTTAGGATTTAATTTTTAACATTCATAATGTAAGCAACTTTGAACTAAGAGTGCTATCTAAATTTGAATATACATGTACATTGTATATGATTATTTAGTTTTAAAATAAATAATAAAGCCTGTCTTTGTTGTTCTTTTAAGTATAAAAAGGAACAACAACAAAAACTATAACAACAACAAACTGGTACATGTTCTTATTCAAGACTCCAAATTTGCAGACATTATGAGTTATTCTTCACTCTGTAAAGTTAATTGTGTATGAAATAAACTCATACATTTAGCTCTCTCAATCTAGTTTGTAATATAAATGACCTGTTAAATAGGATAAATAAATAAACACTGCCTCTACTACTCTACAATGATTTTACACAACTGACTGATTTTACACTTTGCACTGACCAGTCTGATAATGGTAACCACCTGTTTTCCCACCATAAATTCTCTACAGTCCAGACTCTTCCATTTGATTTTTTTCTGGGGGGAAACAACTTTATAGATTTTAAATGAAGTCTGTTTAGAAGGACATTGCAAAGTTATCTTTAAAAACTTATTATGAATTTGAAATTCTACATTACACTTTTTTTTCTCATATGTCTATATGATTGTGAAAGTAAAATGATGGGTGCTTTGATTTAAGGAATATCCCTGTTTAACATTATGCATGATGAATCAGTCCAGTTCTACAGTTGTAAAATTTGAAATCTGAGGTATTTGTGGAAGTAGAGTGCTCATGTATCACAAAGGATCTTATTGATAAATAAGAAATTGTGGAGATATAAGCAATGTTGTAGGCAATATTTTGTATAAAATATTTGGATGTAAATTCTTAAACTTTTCAAAGAAAAAAATCAAGGCTACACTCTTGTAAATGAAAATGACAATATTCTAGATTATGGGATATGCTGGTTGCAAATGAAATTTGAACCTTGGACAAGAAGATGAAAACCAGAATCATAAAAAAATCAGGTAATAATCTTTGGATACATTTATGCAAAAAACAAGTATTATTTCAGGTCTGCTATCAATTATTTTTATCAACTTTATTCTGAAAAAAAAATAATATTTTACATTCTATTTACCTAGTTGGAAAATAATTTTTAAATGTAAATTTTGTCACCAATAGCATTTAATTAGATACTACAATATTGACTGTTAACTGCATTATATTTTTGAATACAGTCTTGAAGAGATGATATAAAATACATTTATACTTAACTTCTAATTAATAGGTCATAATTTATTTTCATATCTTTTATAATGAACTATGAATTTTGTTCTTAAAGGTCACAGTACACCCCCCAGAGACGTTGATCTACATGAAACAAAGCAAAGGACTAAAACAGACATGGTAAAACGAAATTGTAGTTGAACTAATTGGAATAGTTTTGACAGAAATTCATTGTTAAACAAAATAAGTCTCTTTAAAAGTTGCACCTTAATTAATAAAGTTAAGTTACCAGTTTACCACTAATATAAACAGCTCAGTAAATATCTTTTATCAAGCAATGCATTAAGTAGGAAAATTAAAACAGTCATGTATTCATTAATTGTCAAAACATAATTATAGGTTGAAGTTAATTGGTACATATTTAAAAAAATGAATTGGTCAGGCACTGAATATGTGCATTGATGACATTAGTACAAAATGCAAGCATTGAAAGTTACATGATTATCATTTTGTATTCATTTAATGATGTTTTATTTGATTCAGGTGAAGCTGCTTTAAACAGGATCTTAAATCACAATACCGGGGACCAGTTAAGAAGAGAAAACACTTGCAAAGGCTTAATTCCAAGTACCTATATATGTAGACATTAATTTTGCAAATACTGGCAATAAATTTTTACAAGAAAAAAAACTTTATAAGCATTTGTGAATTTTTCTTCAAACAGTGTTATTCATGACTTGGATTTTATTGATGCAGTATCAGTAGTGCAAGACTGTAACAGAATGTAATAAAATATAGTAATCCATTTAAGACAAAGTGAAAATTTGTTATATTTATCCCCATATTTAGTGATAGTGATTCTAGTTCAGTGATATTTCTGCTCACCTTGGCACACAGTGCCATTGTGAACTATTGTGATTGTATAATGTCTGCTATTTGTACCTACATCTTGTAAAAGGATATTTTCTCCTCAACCATTTCTTATTTTTAAAGATTGAGTAGCAACAAAAGCACCAAATTTCTGACCAAAGTGTATTTATCCCAATGAAAAAGATATTTGCACCAAACATGCCAAATATGTTTGCATTTATGTGTGGTTTTCATCCCTTAAATGATAAATGCACCTGTATTTTATTTTTGACCTGTAAAATTTTACACCTGTATATTTGAGCTGAAAAAATTTTACACCTGTATTTTTAGACCTGTAAAATTTTACACCTGTATTTTAAACAGCTGTAAAACAGTACAACTGTATTTTCGACCCGTAGAAAAAAACGGTTAATTTACATATTTCGTTCATAGTACAGGTGTAAAACAGGTGTATTTTTGAAAAAACAGGTGTAATTTGCTATATGTTTATCAAAACTGAAGAAAAATACAGCTGTATTTTTTAACAGAAAAACAGGTGTATTTTAGGCAAAATTACAGGAGTAAAATTTCGTACAGGTTTCATTCATAAAATGTACTAAAATGAGACCTTTGGTTTGCACTCATTGACTCAACACTGAGTCAACTCATCTGGAACTCCCAATGCCATATAGAAATGTCTGGCATGGCTAAAAGTGACTGAAACACCAGTCTGACATGCAAAAATAGTCAAGCCATCTTTCAGTCCTACTGGCAGCTTTTGTTTTTCAAATCACTTATATTATCCTATGTTCACATTTTTGTTTCAGGACAGTACATTTATGTAAGAGGTTAAGTGACAAGAAGCATGTGATAATTAAGCAGATTCCAGTAGAACAGATGACCAAGGATGAGAGACAGTCTGCCCTAAATGAAGTTAAGGTGTTGTCTATGTTGAGTCATCCAAATATTATTGAATACTATGAGAATTTTCTCGAGGATAAAGCTCTTATGATCGTGATGGAATATGCACAAGGTATGAAATTAAATTAATGTTCTAACATGTAGTAAAGTGATTTCTATGCTCATAGAAAATATATATGTCAAGCATATAGCTATAAATTCTTTCTGTCACATTTATTAATCATTTCTCACAGCGTATTTCTGATAGCAGATCCATTTATAGTGACTGATATCTTACATTTTCTGTGAGAATGGATTGACATCTTCTTGTGGGTGGAGTTTCATCATTCATATCAATGGAGTCAAGTAACAGTGTTAAAAAAATATAGGTTTCCTTATTGTGATGCAATGTTTTTAGCTTAAAGTACATCAAAAAGCATTCATCATTGACACAATTTCACAAATATTCTTATTGTGTTTGGTTTAAAGATATGCCATTACTGTGAATACATGAGGAGAATTCTTTGGGTAAGGAATGTCAGCATTTGACATGTGTACAAGAAGGTCAGTGAATGACCACAGGGACCTTTCAGGCATATCCAGGGCTGCTGAACCTTAAAAAAACTAGCTGACTATAGCCTTTTCAAATGAAAAGGTTCATTGTAAGGATTAGGAAAGTGCTTTTGAAGTGAGCAATTGTAGATTTCCTGAATTGTGTTCTTTTTTTCTCAATGTGTCTTTGTTATTTATCTTTAAGGTGGAACTCTATTGGACTATTTACAGTCACAGAACAACAGGCTCTTAGAAGAGGAGGTAATCTTACAAATATTTTCATGAAAATTTCTCATTGGAAAGGGTTTAGAATAAAACCTTTAATACCTTTAAAAATGTTTTTAGGTGCATTAACATCTGCACATGGAAATGATTTTAAACCCATAGCTATTTTGGGAGCATTATCTGGTTTGACAGGCTCAGGGCTTCTGAAAATGTTAATGCATGAAAAACAGTTCCTTGGTGATATTCTTACATAAAAAAAGTAATTTAAATTTGCTTATTTAGTGTTTTGCTATCTGTCTTTCATATAAATAAACTTATATTTTGTTATGCTTTCTTCATGCTAGTTAGATGTCCTTTGACACTACATGTAATTATATATTGATACATTTTGTAATAAAATTAATGGGTCTATCATGGCAGTAACTTGAGTAAGCTATTTTTACATGGCACCCTGAATCATGCATATTAAAAACATGCAACAACAGCATGCTTTTATCTGTGAATGCATGTTTTCTTCTCTTTTAATGTACAAAAATGTATACCAGCATGCACATTTTTATGGAAGAATCAAGGTTAAAACAGCATGTTACTTATCTTGATAATACACATTTGAGTATAAGTTCATTTCTAAAGTATTCATAGATTTCCATTCAATGTTGTTAATTTATCACTGAAATGGAATGCCCCAAATTCAGGAAAAGACTGTTATGTTAATTTACAATAGGTTAACGTGAAGTGTGCCAAAATAGAAAAAATGTGAAATTGTGCAAGAAACCATACACTTAAACTTTGCTTTTCTTCCCTTTTTTCAGGAAATCTTGCTGTTCTTTGCACAGATGTTACTTTCCATACAGCATGTTCATTCTAAACAAATTCTTCACAGAGATCTAAAAACACAGAATATATTGCTGGACAAGAAAAAGAAAGTGGTGAAAATTGGGGACTTTGGTATCTCAAAAGTTCTAAGCAGTAAAAGCAAAGCCTATACAGTATGTATAATAAGAATAAAAAAATCAGTTAGAAAATCTTTTGTTATAATGAGTTTAATTATGTTAAAAGAGTTATACACTGTAACTCAAATTAGAAATAAAAAACAGAAACAAAATTATTCTTCTTATTTTGGTATTTCTGATTTCAGTTTACATGTAATTTGGTGTGGAAATTGAGGACTGATTGCATATGATTTGCATATGATTTGCAAGGAGCATCTTGTGTGTTCCACGAAACTTAAACATTTAACTTGCACTTTTCTGCCTGTCAGTTTGCATTTCTCCCCATTTCCTTTGTTTTAATCACTTAATACCTCAAAATTCAAATTGAAACTTCATAGGGGGGATATATTTAATTTTGTCATGATAATTCATTTTCGAATTTCAAGATGTGAAGATTGGAAAATGATGTATAAATAATATTATTGTTGTATTATTATTGTATTTTTTCAGGTTGTGGGTACGCCATGTTATATATCACCAGAACTATGTGAAGGCAAACCGTATCCTTGATATAATGTCAGAATTACCTTTGTATATAATATGTAGATAGAAATCATAGTGTCTATTAGCATTTCTGATTCTAAGGCAATATTATCCATAATAATTTTGCATTTCAATGGAAACTCGGGATTTTGTTTTAAAGAAGGCTGAACAGTGATTTCATGCACTTTTACCAAGAAAAAATTACTGAAATATCTTATTGTTTTCCAATGAAGGCAGCTTTAACACATGAGGTTACTATTACTATTTAACATGTGTTTAAAAACTACCCATTAAACAGTGATTTTGCTGCTTTTTTCTGACTTTGAAACATCATGTGATAAAAGAAACCAGGACTTTTTTGTATATTGTATTCAAAATTGCATATTACTCTTATTTAGAGGTTTTAAGTTTAATCTTATCTTTTTGCTAATGAACTAGTTCATTGTAACTCATGGCCCCTACCCCTCCTGGAAATACTCTTTTGAATTTAAGATTCCTAAAAGTCCTGATAAAGACCACTGTACTAGCAATCAGCTGGCGAAATCCCATCTAAAGCTTCATAAATGCCCTGCTATTCCACTTGAGCACAAAAATCATTGCTTATTCTCCCCTTCTACATGTATTTTCCAAATTGCTAGGGGTTAGGACTTTGGTTGCAATTGATTGAAGCATAAATTCAGTTGACATTCAACTTGCTATTGGAGTATTCAAGATAAATTCATGCCTTATGATATTAAAATTTAGTGAAGATTTTCCTTGACTTGTAACAAAGATATAATCAAAAGAGTGACATCTGGGCTCTAGGATGTGTACTGTATGAGTTGGCCAGTTTAAAGAGAGCATTTGAAGCTGCGGTAAGTCTTTTCTTTTAATAGAGGATATTTGTTTAATTCACTGTAAGATCAGAATATATTTCACCGAGTGAGCACCAAAAGGTATATATCACGAGTGGCGCAGCCACGAGTGAAATATGAACTTTTGGTGTTCACAAGGTGAAATATATAGAGGATATTTGTTTAGTTCGGTGTAAGATCGGAATATATTTCACCGAGTGAGCACCAAAAGGTATATTTCACGAGTGGCGCAGCCACGAGTGAAATATGAATTTTTGGTGTTCACAAAGTGAAATATATTTCGATCTTACACTAAACTAAACAAATTTTCTTTTTATTACATGCAAAGAAACGTTTTAAAAATACATAAAACCTAATACTGAATGAAAAGCGTGCCAAATAATAATACAACGTGACGTCGTTACGACGTCACGTCATTAAGTTGGTACCCAGTCCTGTGCACGCTGGTATTTCACTGAAACAACATAAGGGGCTTAAATTCAAAACGGTGAAATTATCAAAGTGGTAATTTCACAGTTTCAAACAGTGAAATTACCAGATTTTATATCACTGATATATTTCTATAAACCACCGAAAAGCATGTAATAAATTTTGATCTTACACTAAACTAAACAAATTTTCTTTTTATTACATGCAAAGAAACGTTTTAAAAAGACATTAAACCTAATACTGAATGAAAAGCGCGCCAAATAATAATACAACGTGACGTCATTTATGATGTCACGTCATTAAGTTGGTACCCAGTACTGTGCACGCTGGTATTTCACTGAAACAACGTAAGGGGCTTAAATTCAAAACAGTGAAATTATCAAAGTGGTAATTTCACTGTTTCAAACAGTGAAATTACCAATTTTATATCACTGATATATTTCTATAAACCACCGAAAAGCATGTAATAAACAGGTGTAATTTTTTTTGGTAACACTTGTTTACAGGCCTGCTCGGAGTATGTTCAAAGAAGTTCTCTTAATGGCTGTTTGATTTCTGCACATACTGTCATCTTAGTGCATTTATGCATTAAGTTCTCCTAAATTGAATAGGTGTTGCCCAGTTATTGTACTAAGGTGATAATATATTGGTGCAGTATGGTTTTGCTCTGAATCTTGTCGGTAACTTTGCCATAGATCAAAGGATTTTCAATGATCTTGGACTATACTTCAATTTCATTGAGGCACTAAGTACATGGTAGTGTAGAAGAACTAGAGCTTAATTAAGGACATACTTAAGAGTCAGAGGTTAAAAAAATAAGTTTACTTGCTTTTCTGGCTGTAGCTTTGCCATAGATTGATGTGTTTAAATGACTTTGCATAAAATTAATGTCAGTCTCTGTTTGAAGTACTGTTTTACATAGAAAAAATTTCATGCTGTAAAGTTAACAATATGAAATGTAAAATTTGAACCATTTTGATTTTTTACTGAATTTTTTATTTTTTACAGAATTTGCCAGCCTTGATCTTGAAAATAATGAGAGGCACATTTGCGCCAATATCAGAACATTATAGTGAAGAGTTACGGTCCCTGATACTAAGTATGCTTCACCTTGACCCAAATAAAAGACCAGACATCAATCAGATCATGGCACAGCCAATCATCATCAATGCTCTCATTAATATACATACAGACATGGGAAAAGTTCCATGTGCAAGGTAATGTATAAATTATTTGCTTATTATAAAGAAGAATTACATGTACTGCGTTATAAAGAAAAATTACCAACAAATGCAAAAATTACAAAATTACATGCACAAGGTAATGTTAGAATGTTAAAGAATTCCTTCATTATTTATTATGAAATATAGTTCCATTAGCATGGCAGTGTAAAAGGATAATGTTTTCTGAAGTATTTCAAAGAAATGCCTAACAAATACAAACTAAAACTTTAATTTCCATCAAAAATCTAATGATGAAAATAAAATCGGTATATTTTTAGAATGCACAGACCAGTGACCCCTGCATTACCATCAACTGCCAGGAATAGATTAAGAGGCAGTGCCGTAAGTGTAAGAGGTAAGTTTAGAATAGTAGATATTGAATGAGTGTAGGGTAAATACTGAATTATTTGAATGAGTTCAATAAAATTATATAATGCGAGCCTCCTTCAGAAAGTTCAATTAAATCAGTAATGAACCTACACAAATATGATATTCTTTTTATCACATACCCAAACTAAAGACTGTTTAAAAATGAAGAAGTAACATTTTTCATTGACTTGTCCATAGTGTAGTGCAAACATTTAACATGTCTTTAAACTCTGTTTGTATAATGCATATTATGACCACTGCGGTATACCGTACCCCGGATATTGCTCGATATAATGAGGACTTTCATCCCATTTCGCGACTTTGAACGAGGAAAGAAGGTAAGTTTAGTGACGATATTTAGTCATTTTGAATTGGTTTGATATAAATTTTATAGCAAAACAAATACTTCGATTATTTCTCTAGTTACTGAAAACCCAAAATAGTTTAGAAATAGCTTTGAAATGTAATTAGGAGGTAAAATTTGTCTCTTTGCTCACGTGATAAATGAGCTCGGATCAGTCAAATTTGATGTTTTTCTGCTTAAACTTCCTTAAAAGAAAAATTTGAATCGAGTGAAATGTGTTAATGATGATAATGTTTATGTTGTAAATGTTCAATCAACAATAGAACCTCAGATGACAGTGCATTTTGAGAATAAATACACATGTCAGTGTACCGAGTATTGCGTTGGAGTTGCCCGCCGGTGTCACGAGTATTGCCTTTAGTGTAACGAGTATTGGTTATTAATATCGAGTAAATGCAAGTAGTAAACACAGAGTATTTATCACATTTAATCTTAAATATATCTTATTGTGTATACTTATTTACACTATATGTGCAGAATAGGCAGAGTTCGGAGGTTCTTTACTGGAAACATCTGCAAATAATCCAGTATTCCATTCCTGCTCATGAAAAATCTCAGTCGAACGAACTCAGCAATTTTCTGTGTTTACAAAGTTCTCGTTGCTATCAACCTTTCCAGACTTTGTTAATAATTATTGCATATCTTACTTTAAATAGTAAAAAATGCATCCAAAGTGCATAAATGCTGCCTCAAGATTGTCAATAGTAGACATTATTGAGCAAGTGTGTCACGGTTCAGAACAGTTCACTAATTCCCGGGACCCTCAAAGTACCGTACTGCGGCTCTACCGACTGAGCTATCTCGCCGCTTACACATAATCACCCCGAAATAGTGAACAGTTCTGAACCGTGACATGTGCCAATATCTAATATCAACTGGCTTCCTACTATGCAAAAAATCCATATAAAGGTAACTTTCCGTCATTTTGCACCTGCACTCTAGCAACGGCAGACCATCTGCACGTGAAAATTGTTACGTCATTAGCAATATGTTACCGTATGACTGCCGACCGGGTACAGCTCAAAAACCGAATAATGGATTTTAATAAGATTATGATAAAGGGCAGCAGATGCAATAAAAAGGTTATGTTCCTTATAACCTTTCACTTCATAAAGGTGTGTTTTGAAGGCTTCACACCACACCCCTTTTGAGGCCTCAATAGTGTAAAACATGCACTATTTAAGCCCCAAACACTGTTTTCTTCGTTTGAGAAATGTTGTTCAAAAGAGTGATCACTTTTTCGATGCCAACCCCCCCCCCCCCAATAAAGAGGTACATCAAGGGGTGCCACAGGGGGGATGTGCCCCTTTTGTTTGGGCGTTTAAAGTGGGGCAGTAGCCCCTCTAATCGCCGAGATTTGGGCTTGTGGGGGCGGGGGTAAAATGGCCTCAGGTCGATTTAAAAATGCCGTGTAATCAAAGCCGAAAAGCCTTAGACTTTATCTCAATCAATTGAGAAGTTGCTGCACTTGAAATCAGTTTTTATGGGAAAAAAACAACGCAAAATAGAGATTTTTGGCAATTTTGAGACGTCTTCCCGTTGCCATGGTAACTGAAAATTTTAGCTATTCCACAGGCTATGGTCCAGCCAACATTTGTACCCAGTTTGATCAGTATTGAAGCATTTTTTTATAGTTTTATAGCAGTTTGAACTTGTAACAGGAGGTTTAATTCAATGAAGACAGCCATTTTTCGCAATATGCTCATGCAGTAAAATGTTAAGACGATACCGGCATGCTTGGACGGCGTAATTTAAGCCCGAAAGTGTGTCGATATGTTTCTTAAGGCAAACTTGCCCTGTAAAAAACTATTATTAATGTCATCTAAATTTGTTTTTTATTCTTCTTCTTTTCAAAAACACATTTTCTTGAGACATGTATTTAAAGATTTTATCGTCAATTTTGATGGTTGTACCCTGTTACCGACCCTGCTTCCGACCCTGCACACTTTTTTCATCCATAGAGTGATTTTAAATATCATATCAACAGTACGTTATCAGCAAAATAAAATGGAATCGATAAACAGACGTAAAATAGACAAAAATAATAGACAAAAATATCGATTTTCCATACTAATGCGCTCATTCTGTTTTGCAATACACTGTACACGTAAGTTGTGCTATTTTGCAATACTCTGTACACTTAAAATCAATACTCGGGACACTTTCTTGTATCTTTTTTGGCCTGTATCTGTTTGTACTTTCACACTTTTTGCCTGAAATTTGGACAAAGCATACTTGGATTGTGAATAAAAAAATTGCTCGATTCAATTTTTTTTATATTGGTAATATAACAACTTCTAACGATTCTACAGTATCGCGGTCAGTATTTTCTAGTGAGCAGCGGATCGTTTAGGAGTTGTTTAATCAATTTCACAAATACCTATAATACTTTAATGTCTTTTAGAGCTACAAAAATACCTCTAGATATATAAAACCCGTTTAGATAAATGAAATAGTCATTAGTTTGGAAAATATCGTTGCTGAACTTACCTTCGTTCCCCGTTCAAAGTCGCGAAATAGGATGAAAGTCCTCGTAATATCGAGCAATATCCGGGGTACGGTATACCGCAGTGATGACGTCACATCAAATTATATGCACAGCCATGCAATACCATTTTTACGGAGTCGCAAAAGCAGTAAAAGTATGTTATAAAAATAGGATATTAATTGTGTGACATTGTATTAAATGTATTGAGATAATTAAATAAAACAGTATGAAATGAGTTTTTAGCGATTTCATCCATGAAAATTGAATACAAAAAAAACTGGAATGGTATAATAACTTATGGGACAATTACATCAGAATGATACTGTAAAAAAGCATCTTGTATAAGCCTAATGCTCTGTAGCAAAAATATAACATCTAAACTAACTGGAGAAAGAAATTTCATAAACTATTTATAGTTTCTATATATTTAATATATAAAAATTATTTATAGTTTCTATATATAAAATCATATTTGAATTTCTAGATAATAAAAGTAACCAGCCAAATCATTTCGATGCTGTCCTGTAGTGTTAGATTGACTAATAAGCCATAATTCTTTTCATGAACTATAAGAATTAGAAAAAAAAATTTTATGCCATAACTCACTATTTTATGTTTGAAACTTACACAAAGTCCTCTTTCCTCAGATTCCCTGCCAAGCAAGCCACAATCTATGAGTAGTGTTTACTGTTGGGGTGGTGGATTTAACACACCAATCAAGCTACCACTACCCACCAATGATACACAAGTTGTAGAGGTGTCTGCTGGTAGAACACAAAAAGCTGCTGTCACAAAGAATGGTCGACTCTTCAACTGGGAGGTAAAAATATATCCTTAACTTCTTGTGAATTTGAAGGTTTCCTTTTGTTATCGCATGACCGCCACAACTTTCCTTTGAAGATCGGCGTTCTCTAAATTTCAGTATTGGAAAACTTTGGGGTGCTCTAAATGAGGTATCAGTACGCTTTGGGGTGCTCTAAATGAGGTATCAGTACACTTTCTCGCGCATGCCCAGTTTATTATTTTATTTCAAATAATAAAGTGAGCATACCTGAAAAAGAGCAAAACAAAACATTACACAGTTTACAGAACTTTTAAAAAAAAAATATTTATATATCATCTCGATCTTTTTTTTCAAAACCTGAAAATGCAGTTATTATAAAGATGTTGACTCCAGTGGAAAGTAATCGCCATTTTCTGCATCCTGACCTCGAGGACAAATCTGAAACAATGATCAAATTATTCTTCTTTTTTTTACTTTAAACAATGCCTTCGTTTTACAGGAGATTCTGACCAGTAAGCCATTCAGTAAATCACTACACGTATATGAACATAATATTCTAGCGTAATTATTAATAGATGGAAGTAGTGTTAAAGGCACATTATGCGTCAGAAATGCTATCATTTTTATTTCTCAAAATTTTTAATATTTGGTGTCTAGTTACAAGTTCCACAAAAAATACTTATTTGCCATGTGAATGAACTATCTTTGCATCTTTTGCTTTGCTGGCAATTGGTATGATTATAATGAATTAGTATTTTGTATGGAAGTCAAAATATTATTTGTTTACATTTTGCTACCTTTACGAGACATTATTGCACATTCAGCACTACTTACAAATATCTTACATGTTCTAAATCCATTATTAAAACATTTTTAAACATGACTTGTGTTTTACATTTCTAAAGAATTTAATAAAAAGGAGGCATAATGTGCCTTTAAGAAAAAATCACTACATTGTCGTTAGTTTTAAAAAAAAATACGCGTTCAAGATATACCTCTGACATATACACCGGGATACTTATCGACAATATTTCCTAGATTATATTTTGAAAATGAGCTAAAAAGATGATTATTATTTCGCATGTAGAAAAAATGCATCAACTTACCTCGTGAAATGGTTATTTATGTCCAGTTCCTTCAACGGCATCTAATGGTGTATTTCTGTAGATATTTCTTAAAATATTTATATTTTTAAATAAAGAAAATATTACGAGAGAAGATGGTCATGCGATAAAACAGTTACAGAATAAATACTCGGACTTCACCGGCTGGTATCAGCGCATGGGGCGACAAAAGGGTCAATCATGGAAATTAATCTCGACGTTCTGTCTCGATTAATTTCCTATGATTGACCCTTGTTGTCGCCCCATGCGCTGATACCAGCCGGTAAAGTCCTCGTATATATTCTATAACTATTACCTGTATACAAAAACTGTACCATCTACATTTAATTGCAAAGATGTGTTTACCCATTATGAGGATAAGAAATGATTTATTCATTTATTTATGGTACTTTTATCATATTTTTGGTTCATGGTTGGAAAGATATCATTTTCTTGTTTAAAAGTTTAGATTTTATATAGAGATAAAAGGCAAATACTATTATTCTCAATGAACACCCCTCCCCTTATAGACTCCCTCATCCCTTTTTTGACAAAGAAAAAGATATTTATATTTACCTTACAAATAGGAATGTAAATGCTATCTTTTACCTTGTAAATTTATTTTATCCTTCTGTAAAGTCACCAGGTGTCGGGGCTGATTCACTCATACCAGGATCTCTTGACACGACCACTCCAGGATTCATACCACGGTTTCTGGAAGGTCAGTCAGCAGTAGCCATACAACATGTAGCTTGTGGGGACCTGTTTACAGCATGCCTGACAGACCGAGGGATCTTGATGACTTATGGCAGTGGCGCCAATGGCTGTCTAGGTCATGGCAACTTGAATGATGTTACTCAGGTATGTGGGCTGATGAAAATAATTTTTTCTAACAATTATATCCTTTACCCTTCTGAATTCTTGCAATGGACTTACCCTGCTTTGTATTGGATCAATCTATTTGTGGGTAAGGGGATTTCAGTCTTTAAACAGTCACATTGAGTAGCATGCAACATAGACTCTGAATAAGCTGCTAAGAGCTTCAGGTTGGCCCTGTACTTGTGGCGTAGTTACGTTTTATTGTTAGTTTGTAAGTCTCTATTACAAAGGCATTATGTATTCCTGATTAAGAAGTTTTAGTATACAGTTCTCCTGAGGAAAGGTTGGATAATTTTCAGGTTTCAATAGAAAATGATTAAAAATCAATGAAAAAAAATGAACTTAACTATTTTTAAATATTTCACTTTGTGGGGCCATTGATCTGTTTGCTTCTTTGCATGTAATAATTGTAAAACCCAAAAAAAAATTGTTAAGTACATGTTTACTAATATTATACACGTTAACTCTTGCTAAAAACCACAACAGGGTTGTCTGAAATATACAGAAGTTCCTTTATTGTTTTTCCTTTGCTGACTAAAAATGCAATGTCTCCATGACTAAAATGCTTGTACTTTATTTACTATAACAAAATACTAAATTTTGATAAATGATACTATGCAGTAAACATTGATATACATGTAGTAAAACTATGTAGGTTAAAGTTTAAGCCTAATTTGTAAGTTTCTGGACATTAGCTTATTCTTATTTTAACATTTTGTGTTGCATATAAAGTATCTTTAATAACTCAATTTGTAAAGTGTGCAATGAATTACATAGATTTATTTCCACAGTAAAGGTTTCATGGATTTCATTTCATTTAAGGCCAAGATTGTGGAAGCTTTACTTGGATATGAGGTGGTTCAAGTGTCATGTGGTGCATCACATGTTTTGGCTGTGACCAATGAGAATGAAGTATTTGCTTGGGGGCGTGGTGATAATGGTAAGTAGGTGTGTCTAAGTTTAACTTTCAGATGGGAATTATCAGAAGTTATTGTAAACCTCTTGTTATCAACTAATGAGATAGATTAGGATATGAAAAAAAGCACATGGTCCGATAACAAGCACATGGTCTGATAACAAGCACATGGTCCGATAACAAGCACATGGTCCTATAACAAGCACATGGTCTGATAACAAGCACATTGTCCAATGGTGTTGCTTACACACTGCAAACCTAGTGTCAATTGCGATTAAAGATGATAAACAGGCAAGAAATTCACCTGACTTATAATTCATGGGTGGCTAGTTCAATACCCTGCTACTCAAACTAAAATTAATACATCATATAATTTTCTTTAAGAGTTGAGTACAAAACAGAGGTCCATTGTATTGATGTTTTACTTTTTTGCATGTTGAAGAACTGATGGTCAATTTTTGGAGGGAGAATTTTAGTTCTTATATTAAGAGCAGAGTTAGATTGCTTGGTATTATCATATTTCTTTACAACAAAATATTTTGTTATCTGTATCCAAAGTATCAAAGTGGTTGAACATACATGTATTGTTAACAAATATATATATGTAAATGCATGCCTTATATTTTACAATTTAAAGAGTTAGCATTGATATAAACTGGCATTATAGCAAGGCCATCCTGCTATACTGAAGTCCCTGAAATTACTATTGGAAATTACTATTACTATTGGAAAGTTCCAAAATCAAATCAGGATGGTTTTATTATGTATCATAAGGGTTGAAAAACATTGCAGTTGGAATGAAGCTTGAATGACATATGTACATTGTTGAAAACACGCTTTAAAGTGAATAAGTCCGTAATGAAATGTCTGTATACCATATGGTCATATGGTAATGATGATAGTACATGTATTTAGTGTCATTCATGACAATAAACCACAATAAAATTATATATTGATGGTGTCAGTAAAAGTGAAATACATTATTTTATAAGACATGTTTATATGTAGCTGATAAAAAATTGTTCTAGAACAAAATATTGATTCTCACCATATAAATGTTCATACTTAATCATTTATTAACATTTCTTTTTCAAGAGACATTATAAGAATATCCAAATGATACATTTCTATTGTTTTTATCAATATTTGAAATAATCATGGAAAATGTGCCAATTGTAGATATATTTTGAATTAATAATATTCTAATTACATAATAGATATATTTCAATTCATTTACATCAACAAAATTACACAATACACAAAAGGGTTGGGCCAAAAGTTTTTACATTATCGTGGGCCCTTCCATGTAAATGTTTTACATTGTAGATAAATCCACTTTAACCTTGAATCTATTTAGAATATTGATATATTAATTATCACTCTCCTTTAGGTCGCCTTGGTTTAGGCACTCAAGATTCACACACAACACCCCAGGCTGTGCAGTTTCCGGAAGGGGTAAGCCCATGTAGTGTGAATTGTGGAGTAGATTGTTCCATGGTTATCACCCTTGACAACAAACTCTTCTGCTGCGGAAACAACAGGTACTTGTTTTGTTCTGACATGATGACATTCTATATTTAAAAAATGATGTCAGTCTATTTCAAGCTCCATGCCTCCAGATGTGCAAAAATGTTTTTGATAACTCAAACCTGAGAAAAATTTACTAAGGTTATTAGAGAAGTAAAAAATTCAAGATTTAAGTAATAGTTTACATGTTATGTGCTATTAATGATTGGTTTTTCAGTTTTTATAACCATATTTCTGCTGTGTTACTAAAGCAATAAAGGCTATTTTTAAAAAAAATATTTTGATCTCATATTGGAAATTTATATGGGCTGTGAGTGAAGTTTGTAATGTGTAAATTACTTCCCTATGGTAACTTTACAAACTTTTTTCTTGTAAATACATTTTCACAATTTTTATGAAAATTAACATGAATCTGGAGGCCTAAACAACCAATATTGTAAATTTTTATTTTCAGGTACAATAAGTGTTGTTTAGATGAAATCAATCAAGAAGGGCAGACAATCAGATTGGTAGAGGAAGTTAGACAGTTTACAAAAGTTACCTCCCCTCCAATAGGAAATGCCTTAGTGAAAACTGTATCCATGGGAACTTCACATTCAGCCATTGTCACAGGTGATACTGCTTTTCATTTTATTACAACTTATTTTGTAAACTTTCAATAAATTATCTAGCATTACCAGACATTACTCATTTTTTCAATAGTACTTAAATTTGTAAGTCATAATAAAAAGATGGTAGTCTTTTCTGGCTTCTGAAATATCTTAATAAACATTTGGCACATTCAGTTGAGTATTAGCACATGTGTCCAATATTATCTCGACTCTTAACCTACAAATGGATTATTCCAGGTTCATAGCAGGTCAAATCCATTACAAGAATTCAGCAGGCAAAGATTTAAATAGAAAAGAATTTACCTTTTAAATTGAAAGGGTTCTCTTTGAAATGAAATGTTTTGTAATGATCAAAAGATATCTACACTAGAATATCTCCTCATATTTTTTTCTTGTCATAATTTAACATGAACAATTTTATTTCATTAATAAATTATGCTTTAAATATGACACAGTTGATGGTGAGCTGTATACATGCGGTGCTAACCAGTTCGGTCAACTCGGCTACCAGACAGACTTCAATAATAAACAAGCTAGTCAGGTAGAGGCATTAAAGGACGTGAAAATACATATGGTTGCCTGTGGCGATACTTTCACTACAGCTGTCTCGCAAGGTAAATTTTTTGCAATGTACTCTAGGAGAATTTGTATTTTAGTTACAGTGATATTAAATTAGGCATCAGAAACAAATCAACTTTACATTTTTTCAACAAGCAAAAAAAAATTTAACAACATATAAATAATACATGTAGTTTCGGAGCAGGTTTGGTGCTAATCACTTGAAAAAAGAAGCGCTTAATGTGACATTATTTGTTAAGAAAAAGTAGCAAAATGTATTTTACTTTTATACAAAATACAAATGTATTAAATCACTATTAAGGTACTTATTGCCAAGATGCAATAAAAGCAAAAGTGGTTCATGTATTTGTCCAAAAGATTTTATGCTGGAAGATACGATCTTGAAAATGCATTTTAAATTCTAATGAAATTTAGTTGTGCAAGCAATATCACTCTATGCACTTACTTATTATAGATAATTTAAGAAATTGTGAAGCTTTATTTTTTAGTATTCAGCACTAAATATATACTTGTATGTGTAGCTTCAATGAATCTAAGATTTCACTGCATTAATCACTTTTGCCTTTAACTTAAACCTGTTTGAATAAAACAAAATCTTGCAAAATCCTGCACAAAAGTACAAGCTGGCCCAACTGTGGCTTAAGCAAACCTTCTATGCTTCTAGTACACAAAAAATCTTTACTAAAACAGTAAACACAGATTATTCTTAGAAAACCACTATTGACTTTGTCTTGGACTTATTAATTAAGAAAAAAAATCTTGCATTTAATTCATGTAATTGTAAACAAAGGATTATTTTTCGAAGTTCTTAAAGTAACATTCAGGTTTGTGACCATTTTCAAAGAACAATATATTGGTTGTATCTGTTATAGTAAGTAAATGGAGGGGTTTTTTTTATACTTTCTTAGAAGCAGAAGTATTTTCATTCGGTAAGAGTGCAAGAGGTCGATTAGGGAGGTCAGATCCTGAGACGATGACACCGAAGCGTATCAACATAGTCAGTGATGAATTATTCTCTGTAGTTTCTATCTCATGTAGTCATGGTTCAACACTCCTGGCCACTAGACGTAAGATTATTTCCATTTTATATATATTTTAATACTGCCATTGCTGAATTTGTTAAATGGACTGGCCCTACTTTAAATCTGGAACTGTCCATTGTATAGTTTGAGGGATTTCAGAATCAAATTATAAAATTAAGCAGCTAAATTGTACAAAGGTACAAGCTGGCACAACTGTGGCATAAATGAACCTTTCATGCTTCTGGTACACAATTAGTGAACTATGTATACCAACTTACAACACTTTTTTAACAATGCTCATAAATATTAGTGACTTTGTAATTTCTTTGTGTATCAAATATTTACTTAAAAAGAAGAGATCTGTAGGCCGAGATGGCAATGGCTGGTGGCAAAGGGTATTGACTTTTGTTACCAGTAGGTCATGGGTTAAATAGATTTATATATAGCACCAAAAATGACTTTTTCATCAGAATAGTCATGCCAGCCTGCAATTCCTTTCAGTCTAACCAGACTCTAACTTGATGTTATTATTTTGGTATTGAATAACCCAAAAATTGACAGTGGACACTCCAAATTATTATAATAGCAGGATTGAACCATTTTATGAAATTCATTATGGTTAGGTAAAAAAAATTAATTTTTTCATTATTTCAGAACTTAGAAAATTTTTAACATCCAGCTTTGACTAATAATTCCCAAATTAAAATCACCTTCCTCTATGGCCTCAAATTGTCTGCCATCTTAAAATTTCTATACTGTCACCACAAAGTATGTTACTGTAGAATTTTCCCTATGGCGATGCTTGAATCAAGCAAATAAATTTGAGTTTTAAATGTTATTAAATATCATAGGCTTTAAACACTTGACCATGGATCCTGAAAACAGAATAGGCAAGACATGAAAACATGGTCTTGACTCCATATGGCTTAGAACCTTCTTGCTTTGGGTTCTGATGCAGAAATTGGTTTACTTACTTACACCTCCATATTATCGACTGTTCTATTTGATAAAAAAAATGTTTTTTCATGTATGTATAGTTGTTTAACTTTAATTAAATATTACAGCATTTTTTATTGCTTCATTTTCCACAGCCCTGCAAGGAATGGTTGATTGATGGCATTAGAAAGGCTTTTGTTGGCTTATCAGCTTTATGCTTAGTAAATGGGGTTAGTTGACCTTGACCAAAGATCAAAGATAGTTGAGAGAAAAAATCACAATGATTTCCTGGAGATACATGAGCTGTCAGCAACAACATTTACAACAACAGAAAGAAGGAAATATTTTATGAATGTGTAGTTGTTGATATCCAATTAGGAAATTCTACATATTTTTTTCTGTCAGCAAATTAGTATTACGCAGTATGGACCTCCAAAAGAAAATATAAGTTTGGAGAAAGGGAAATCATTGCAGAATATTTTAAACATAAAAAAGAACAAAAACACTGTGCTATGCATAATAACCAAATTGTTTTTGTGAAGGTGTAATTTGTTTGTTTTTTAATGTCTTGTTTTTTATGCTTAATCATTTAAGAACGTTGGGAAGGAATAGAGAAAAAACATATCACTCTGAAGGATACTAAAATTATTACAATCTTCCCGTCAAAAATTATAGGGACCCCATCAGGTCTCAAAATATGCATAAAATCTTATGCTTTAGTATGAAAATTGTGGGACATAACCTGATAAATCTTGTGAGTAATAAAATTAGATACAGAAATTGGTAAAAGAATAGAAACAAAAACACACACACCTAAAAATAAATCATAGAATTTATTTACCCATAAGTCTTTCAGCTTTTTATACACATGTTTATACATCATGACATCCTTCTGTATATGTATGATATTGTCATATATATATATGATGACATCATAATATCATGACATCATTATTTATATTATTACATCATAGTATCATTTGACTTATATCATTTAAAAAAACATTTATTTTTTATTGTGAAGACTTAAGCTTAGCTGGTCATTAAAGGGACTCCACTGAGGTTTTTATACATGACAGGAGTGGAAATTATTTTTCTAGATTTTTATGCCGTTTGATGTAGGTCTAGCCCAATAATTGGTATGAGAAATTAGATCATTCGCTCACTCATTTTTTTTTTCCAGAATAATTATTTTAATTGTGAAAATTACCGAAAACTCTTTTCTCTAAAATAAAGCTGAGAAATTCTATAAAAATTTGATTTTCAATTTACTTCTGTGTATATTTCTCAATTATCTTTTGCATATATTTTTCTTTTTTCAGTGCCACATTTGGTCTATGTCAGAAATTCAAATTTCATTTTTGGACCTTTTTGGACCTCAGTGGAGTCCCTTTAAGTGCCGATAGGTGTATACTTACACTGTATACTGCCAATTGATAAAAGTTGTTATGATGATAAACGCTCTTAGGGTTTAATAGCACATTATGCCTGAGAAAATTAACTATTTATTCATCTTAAAAAGAGGCAAACGTGTGTTTAGTAATGTTTTAATAATGTATTTAAAACAGTTAGATTTCTGTCACCCGAAGGAAGAATAGCTGAATGTGAAATAATTTGAAATAAAGGTATCAAATTGTAAATAAAGTGGTATTTTGACTTCCATACTAAATACTAATTCACCAATAAATATATAAGTAAAAAACAGCCAACTATGTTTCAGCCTTATGGTAAAGAAGTACTTTCAGCTCACCAAAAGCAAAGAAAAATAAAAAAATGTTGAGAAAGGATGAAAATAGGATTTACTGGGGAAGCTTGATGGGCATTTAAATTTTTAGATGCTTTTTATCACTGCAGTGGTTCTAGCCAAACAGTCTGGACTTAACTATAAACAGTCTGGACTTTTCTTACAGTTTTGTACATTGTCCAATAGGATATCATATTAGTAAAGTTGGAGTAGTCTCCCTTGCACTGCTAACTAAAAGTCAACTTGATATATTGTACTGAATAACTTATGTTTTTAAACAATTTTTAGTAAGTTTTTTTTGTAAATTTGACTGAAAAATATGTTAATTTATTAATAAGATGTATCAAGTACTTAGAATGGTCAGTCCTTTTGTCTTACGAACTGCTCTTGATTAATTTAGTACATTGTTTTAATTCACCATGAATTTACATGTAATACAAATTGATATACAAGAGACGAGTACAAAATAAACAGAGATAATTCTTGTTAACTAATATATGACGATTTTTTCATAATGTAGTATATGGTACTGTTGATTTATTTCAATATGTTAATAGTTTATACCGGTATGTTTACACTATTTATTAAGTACAGTCCAGGTACACGAATATAATGGTATACTTTATGTATTTATTTGTCCGGTACATTATGTAAACGTCACAGAATTAATTAGCCTCATGAATATTCATGAGTACATGTATATGATATCATTGAATGTTTTGTTAAGACGTTATCATGTAATGTTAAGTAGTTAACACCTATGTACTAATTATTATGTTTTGTCATGAAATGATGTAAGCATAAAATGTTTGTTCATAGATATTATTGTAAGCAAAATTCTTTTTGGTCGGAAATATATTTATTAAGTCAATATTGGAAATATATCTTTAAGTCAATATCCAAGGCCTATATATTAAATATGCTTTGTTTTTTTCCTGTGAAGAAAAGGCACAGCAGTTTTATACAATGTTTAAAGGCACATTATGCCTCAGAAATCTATATTTATTTTTGGTGATGAACATTGTAAACTAGCACCTTAATAATAAATATTGAGGATACACTTACATATAATTACAGGAAACCAAAAATAATTTTTTTTGGGCTATTTTGCTCCCTGCAAAACTATTGGTGATTTGTGTGTTGAATTCGGTATTTTGACTGATTATAAATATGTGGCTAATTTCAGTAATAATGTGTTTTAAATTCTATATGATATAAAGGGTAATTTTTGCTATATGGTATTTTTTCCATGGAGGAGATGTAAATCTTGTTGAAATTGTATGTATATCTGTTGAGATCATGCGTGTTTAGTCCTTCCATTACGAATAAAATTTAAAAAAAAGGTTATTATTTTTGTGCAATTTAGTTAAAATTGATAGAATGTTTATTTATATTAAGTTATAATATTTCTTTTGTTGGTTTTTATTTGATCATCTTTGACCATGGGTATGTAATTATTTAGCTTCAGTATTTAGAAATAGCAGGATCATCCTAGTCAATATTGAAATGTCTCACATGTCAATGGCATTGCAGATCATAGACCAAGGCCTGTAACTCTAGCATTGATTTTCTACTGAATTACTCCCCTTGAGTTTTATTTACATAAATATTGCAGGTATAATGTCCTAAAGATGATGCAGGCATAAATGTCCTAAAGATGGTGTAGGTATAAATGTCCTAAATATGGTGTAGGTATCATTGTCCTAAATATGGTGTAGGTATCAATGTCCTAAAGATGATGCAGAAATAAAAGTCCTAAAGATGGTGCGGGCATAAATGTTCTAAAGATTGTGTGGGCATAAATGTCCTAAAGATGGCGCATATACGAGTATAAATGTCCATGTATATGTTTGACATGTGATATGTTTTAAAACTGAATTATTGCCTTTTGAAAAATGTTAAGCTTTGGTGAGCAATTTATTACATTATAAATATTTTACATTATGTCCGTCCACTTTTAATCTTAATTATATGTTTTTGTTGGTCTGTTTTTAATAGATGTATTTGTTAGGGCCTTTGAAATGTTTTATACATGTTTGTATTAAAAGCATAATAGAAAAGAACAAAGTGTTGTTTTTTTTCTAATTTTAATCATTCTTTACTATATACTAGTATTAGATACAACGTGTATATGGTTAAGTGGTATAAGTCACAGACTACCGGCCAGTTATCATTTAATGTTGCAAGTTCGATTCCTAAATGGTAGATGTATTAACTGAAACATTTATTATTCTGTTACGTTTCAATACCAACCGAGACAAAATATTTTTCATGTATTACTAGTTGATCTACATGTAAATGTATAAGTTAATGAAAATTTTCTTCTTCCTTTCTGAAAGTAACGGTCAACTACTCCACATGGTAACAGTTGAAACAGTGGTGAAGAGAAATGGCTCTAGACATATAGTCGCCGGTCATGTCGACAGATCCTGGCCTGGGCTCGAACTTCCGGATCCGAGGTCCGTAGTTCCAGGAATATTATATGTATCTACAGTCCCTGGTATTCCAAGCTAATTGGACTGGCCAATTATACATGAGGTGGTATTATAATAATCACGTGACGATATACATATCGATCATTACGTCATTAACAATTCGATAAATCCCCGGTATGATAAATATATTATATTCGTTATTCAATAAATCATAAAACTTATATAACAGAACGTCTGTTTCTATAGGGGGTATTTTGTAATAATGCACCAATCTAACTAGACCTTTTAAAAGAATACAATGTGATATAAAAGAATTGACAATGAAGATCAAATCAGTATTTATCAATCAATCAATCAATTTTTCAAAAGTCGAGTGATAAACAAAGAAGAACAAATTGTTATCAATAAAATGTAATTGGCAAATACGTAGAATCTTGTCAATAAATGTTTTGTTCTGTTCGCGTGTGTCTGGAATGATAATTGGTAATACAATAATGAAGTATATTTGAAACATTGTTTTCGTTTGTGTTAAACATTGTTTTCGTTTGTATTGAACATTTTTTGTGATTAGTGCATGGGTTTTATTGTTAATTTATACTTTAGTGGTTTTTGATATTGGTATCTATAAGTGTATTCCAATCGCTCTTGTGACCGCTGTTTTTTTTTTCTAAATATACTAGCTGTTTGTTTTTATGTTCATTTATGAAACATGCTCCAACAATTTATATTAATTACACTGAGACGGATTCCTGGCACAAACAAGTACTGGTGTGTTATGAGATAACACGGTTGTGGCCCGATTAGGGTTCAAACCCGCTATCCCTGTGTTAAGAGGTAGAAATCTTACCCACTTAGTCTAGTCCATTTCTCATAACTTCTTCTTTGGGTAACAAGAAATACAATATATAAGCATAAGTCTATAGTATAGTAGGATCGACCTGAACAACATATATCTATTCTTAAAGACCAACGAATGTATATAATGTTCCTAAGAAAACAAGGTGCAATAAACATTGGTACACGGTACGGTAGCTGACGGACTATACCGAGAATATACGAACAATTTGAGCCGCGTGACGACAAAACCAACATAGTGCGTTTGCGACCAGCATGGATCCAGACCAGCCTGCGCATCTGCGCAGTCTGATCAGGATCCATGCTGTTCGCTTACAAACCTCATAACAAGTAGAGAAACTGATAGCGAACAGCATGGATCCTGATCAGACTGCGCTGATGCGCAGGCTGGTCTAAATCCATGCTGGTCGCAAACCCAATATGTTGGTTTTGTCATGGCACGGCTCATTTGTGACATTTCAACCCCATTTTAAATGGTCTAGTTACGATTTTAATGATACATGGTACATTGACATATCAAGAAGTATTTTTGCAATTCCCTTGATGAATACTCTATCAAAAACAAAGCATTTACTATGACGTGTGTATCACTCCGGATGCTGGTTGCCAAAATCGTCATTTTCATATAAAATTAACCACTCAGCGTGACAATTTTTTATGAGCTCGAACGATTTTCACTTTTTTTACTGACAAAAACAGTTTTACTGAAAATAACCATTTTTTTAAATACACGTTTTAATGTTTTTATTACATTGTACCAATGGTTATTAAGAATAAAGAATGTTAAAACAATTGATTCATTTCAACGTAGCTTATTCAAAGTGGGATGTTCCCATCATTTTGTGATTATTTATTAATATGTACTCTAATGTCATGGTGACAGTTACGGACAAAGTGCGTCCGAACTATTACATTGCCGTATTGTCGGAGAAATGTGTTACAAAAAGTTATAAAAACGCACATTCCAATGAAAAGAGACACATCATAAAAGCGTCGGGGCTGCCCTTATTTATCGCTTTGTTTGAAAGGTGTTTTTGCTGAATTGTCAAGTCATGCACTTAGTTTAGGACGATCAGTCAAATAAGTAGGTATGATTACCAGAAAACACCATATTTATCGTACGTTTGACCAAAGATTCGAAGTTTATATACTGCGTTTAAAGTGATACGCCCCCAGGTGAGGAAAACTAAAATTTAAAGATATCAAGCTTATAAATGTTCTTAGTTAAAAAAGATATAATATAAATGTTCAAAGTCCAAGTGAACTTTGTACCTTTAATAGAAATATACATGTACATGTTTAACAATATACCGTTTGTATCACCATTTTTCTACAGGATAAATAATGAACGGAATGAGGGTAATTTCTGCATTTGTTGTCAAGTTTTAGGGAATGTATTTAATTACAAAGTGTCTCCGGCAATTGTACACTCTATTTGCCAATGTCACCAATTTTCTTTTACCAAAAACTAAGTACAATATAAATAAATAAATAAAATCTAAAGGTCGGTAGGGGCATACTGCTTAATGCAGATAAACTATATATTCTGTCCATAATATTCACGGTTGACCTATCTAATCAGGAATCTTTTTTTAATTTCCAGAAACTATTTTCCAATAGTTACCAATGTAGCAAGAAATGTACTGAGTAACCTTTTGGATGCTACTAAAATTCGGCTAATAAGTGAGCGTTATCCGGTAATTGATATATTTACATATAACACACAATGCCTACAGTGCTGACACGTTTAAAGAAATGAAAAGTAAGGTAATTTTCATGCCCTGTGTGGTTAGAACACCTTTCCGAATAGATAATAATCTATAATTAGAGGTATCTCTCT